TTTATTAACAGTGGATTAAATTATTAACAGTGGATTTACTAACAGTGGATTAACTAACAGTTGATTAATTTATTAACAGTGGATTTACTAACAGTGGATTTACTAACAGTTGATTAATTTATTAACAGTAGATAACCTTATTAACAGTTGATTAATTTATTAACAGTGGATTAAATTATTAACAGTGGATTTACTAACAGTTGATTAAATTATTAACAGTGGATTTACTAACAGTGGATTTACTAATAGTTGATTAATTTATTAACAGTAGATTAACTTATTAACAGTTGATTAATTTATTAACAGTGGATTTACTAACAGTGGATTTACTAACAGTTGATTAAATTATTAACAGTGGATTTACTAACAGTGGATTTACTAACAGTAGATTAACTTATTAACAGTGGATTAAATTATTAACAGTGGATTTACTAACAGTTGATTTATTTATTAACAGTAGATTAACTTATTAACAGTTGATTAATTTATTAACAGTGGATTAAATTATTAGCAGTGGATTTACTAACAGTGGATTTACTAACAGTTGATTAAATTATTAACAGTGGATTTACTAACAGTGGATTTACTAACAGTAGATTAACTTATTAACAGTTGATTAATTTATTAACAGTGGATTTACTAACAGTGGATTTACTAACAGTTGATTAATTTATTAACAGTAGATTAACTTATTAACAGTTGATTAATTTATTAACAGTGGATTAAATTATTAACAGTGGATTTACTAACAGTGGATTTACTAACAGTTGATTAATTTATTAACAGTAGATTAACTTATTAACAGTTGATTAATTTATTAACAGTGGATTTACTAACAGTGGATTTACTAACAGTTGATTAAATTATTAACAGTGGATTTGCTAACAGTGGATTTACTAACAGTTGATTAATTTATTAACAGTAGATTAACTTATTAACAGTTGATTAATTTATTAACAGTGGATTAAATTATTAACAGTGGATTTACTAACAGTGGATTTACTAACAGTTGATTTATTTATTAACAGTAGATTAACTTATTAACAGTTGATTAATTTATTAACAGTGGATTAAATTATTAGCAGTGGATTTACTAACAGTTGATTAAATTATTAACAGTGGATTTACTAACAGTGGATTTACTAACAGTAGATTAACTTATTAACAGTTGATTAATTTATTAACAGTGGATTTACTAACAGTTGATTAATTTATTAACAGTAGATTAACTTATTAACAGTTGATTAATTTATTAACAGTGGATTAAATTATTAACAGTGGATTTACTAACAGTGGATTTACTAACAGGGGATTTATTAACAGTTGATTAATTTATTAACAGTAGATTAACTTATTAACAGTTGATTAATTTATTAACAGTGGATTAAATTATTAACAGTTGATTTACTAACAGTGGATTTACTAACAGTTGATTAAATTATTAACAGTGGATTTACTAACAGTGGATTTACTAACAGTTGATTAATTTATTAACAGTAGATTAACTTATTAACAGTTGATTAATTTATTAACAGTGGATTAAATTATTAGCAGTGGATTTACTAACAGTGGATTTACTAACAGTTGATTAAATTATTAACAGTGGATTTACTAACAGTGGATTTACTAACAGTAGATTAACTTATTAACAGTTGATTAATTTATTAACAGTGGATTTACTAACAGTGGATTTACTAACAGTTGATTAATTTATTAACAGTAGATTAACTTATTAACAGTTGATTAATTTATTAACAGTGGATTAAATTATTAACAGTGGATTTACTAACAGTTGATTAATTTATTAACAGTAGATTAACTTATTAAAAGTTGATTAATTTATTAACAGTAGATTAACTTATTAACAGTTGATTAATTTATTAACAGTGGATTAAATTATTAACAGTGGATTAAATTATTAACAGTGGATTTACTAACAGTTGATTAATTTATTAACAGTAGATTAACTTATTAAAAGTTGATTAATTTATTAACAGTAGATTAACTTATTAACAGTTGATTAATTTATTAACAGTGGATTAAATTATTAACAGTGGATTTACTTACAGTGGATTTACTAACAGTTGATTAATTTTAAGTTTCCACCAAATTTCATGACAAAATATTGTTTTTTGTAATAGATAAAAATAAAAAACCAAAAACTTGGTTTTTTGAGTTTTTCACATAAAATTTGAAGTTATTTGAAAAAAATGTTAGAACAAAAGTTTTAGATCTTTTTATTACCTACAACTTTACCATATAACATTTTTCAATGGGACTCTTAGTTTTGTCGGAAATCGGGATACCCTTTTTATACCCTTAAATACCCATCCCCATACCCTTCCCGACCTCAGATCGCCCGTAAATTATATTTCCTTTAATTTTTATAATATTCCCCTCGTTTTCTAATGAGTTTCATTGTACTATAATTTAATTATGTTTTAAAAGCTATCGGCACTGGTCTACTCCGACTAATGGCTAACATGACTGTTAATGCATTGTCGAAACTCAATCGTCCAATCACAGCCCTGATTTCTTGTAACCATAGTAACGTCATCTGTTTTGTCAGTTTCGACTATTTCCTTGTCATTTAAACTAATATTATAAAGAGGTAATATTTTTTTGTTTGTTTGTTTGTTTGTTTGTTTTAGGCTCAATAGGCTCAAAACTACTGGACCGATTTTAAAAATTCTTTCACCATTATGATTGCACATCTTTCCAAAGTAACATAGGCTATATTTTATTTTGAAAAAATTGGGGATCCTTGCGAAACTTCGATAACATAAACCACGGTGGATAAAAATCACTATTGAAATACCTTAAATCGCGTGCGCTGCAATAACTATTGATGATGGAGCAAAATAATGTACTACGATTTTGTTGACCGCATTATTATCTACAGAAAAGTCCGCGGTAGTGTATATCTAAGTATTATAGTTACGCCAATATAAAAACTTTTATAGTTTAACAAACTATTTAAATCGGCAACGAAAATAAGATGTCGATATTCAAACCATGGTATTTACACTTATCACAATAACTTTTTATTTAACAGTAGTTCAATACCTTTATATTGCTGTTTAAATTATATTAATCGGATACTCCATTCAAAAGATATAGCGAGTTTAAAAATTTGGGTAACTTAAAAATTAAATAAGCGTTTCGCTGCATCGCGTCGCCATGTTGATTGTGCGTAGCTGAACTGCGCATGTGCGTGCAATGTCTATTACGTATATATTTTGAAGTTTATATTTTGACTTTCGCGCTATTTCCGTCAAATTTGATGATAATTAATATATATTTTAACTACAAACGATAATAAGTTTTAAGTTTAAAATTGCAAAACATTATTTAATAACACATAATCCCTACTAATATTATAAATGCGAAAGTAACTCTGTCTGTCTGTTACGCTTTCACGCCTAAACCACTGAACTGATTTTAATGAAATTTGGTACAGACATAGAGTTGATCTTGAAAAAGAACATAGAATAGTTTTTATCCTAGACTTATGAAAGGTTCTCTTGGAAACGCGATATAACCGAACTCCACGCGGGTGAAGCTGCGGGCGGAAAGCTAGTTATTAATAAAATGAATTAAAATGTCATTTAGTATGATGATTGATGATTTTCTTTTTATTTCTTATAATTTGTCTTATAATTTATGTCTATATTTATATAAGGCGGCCAACCGTCCCGCATTCTGCGGGACCGTCCCGCAATTTAAGACGAAATCCCGCTTTGAAATTATTAGTAAAATAGTCCCGCAAAACGTTGTATGCGTCCCGCATGTCCCGCATTCCTATTTTTCTACCACACTTCTACACAACACCCATACCACGGTCAACAGTGTAGGAACACAGATTACCTATAATAGCGACAAGCGTATCGCGCCCGCGATAATCTCGTTTTCTTTCTTTCTTCTGAACTCATGACGCGTAAGAGAGTACTTACATTTAATATGAGCAGTTGCGAAGATTTTTATGACATTCCCAATCCCTAACACCCCCCCCCCCCCCCGCCATTCAAGAAAAGTTAGGTCCCGCATTCAGTTTTCGGAAAGTTGGCCGCCTTATATTTATAACACAATTTATTGACAACACGATTTTGACAAGTTACACCTAGTAAATTGAAAAGAAAGCTTTTTGTGTGCCAAATGTATGCAACCAACGATATATAATATTTGGTCGCATTACCTAATAAGTGACGTATCGAGGGATATAAACGATCAAAGTATAAAGTGGTGCATCGTGGCAAACGTGCCGTATTAAACGCTATAGTTTCCATTTGGTCGTCTTATAACAAGAACGAATAATTTGGTAGTCGGTCATTTGACATGACGTTTAATAATGCGTTGTTATTTTGTCATCGTGCGACGTTTATATTTTAACAGACATTTATAATTTTGTAGGTTTGTTAGTAAATGCTGTGATTAGCTTAAACAAACATTGATTGGTGAAACTGGGACTTAATATTCAAATAAATTTACTATAACTGTGTAAATGTTTGTTTCACGGCTAATATGCTGAGTCGTTTGTTACAAAATTGGATATGGATAGTCTGAAATCTGAAAAAGAACATAAGCTACTTTTTATCAAAACTCCACGCGGGCGAAGCCGCGGGCGGAAGTTAGTTTAACATAAATTAATAAGATGATTTTGATTGAAACATACTGCCAGCTTCTATGTATTCCATTTTGAATTTAAGTTTTATAACTACGTCCGTGTGAAGGTAATATCGAATAAGCTTTTACTGCGATAGGTGGTTTTACTTAAATAGTTTAATTTTTTATTTACTATCAAAAGAGACAATACACAAAGACTATCACAAAGAAAGACGATATCTTTATTTTTATCTACTTAACGACATTTTAATTTGACAACATAAGATTGACGTCAGCGTTAGCTGATGTCAAACTTCATCCAGGTATGTCATGGGCAAGATGACATATAAATTGGAATTGTGTTTATATTTTAGTTAATGTAATGATAAGGATATTATATGAATAAAATGGATAATATGACGTTAAAGGAGATTCAAAGCAAATTGCTTTTATGGGATTCTTCTGATACTCCTTTAGCCCCGCTTACTTCCAGCCAGAGAGAAGCAATTTTGGATTTGGAAACTCTGATATTGTCGCCTGATGAAGATGATGTGTGTACTACTTATTTTTAAAATGTATTGCTGAAACAATAATTAATAGTCCTGTAATTGCTTAAATATTCATTAATTTATTCATATTATCCTTAGTTTTTAGTGCTAAGTAGGAGTTTCGTTGACTGTTGCGACGTGTAGTTTTTGTACGAAATAAATGTAAAATGATGTTTTAAAAGTATTCAGTTCAGAAAATTTTAATTTAATTACGGACTTTCCAGGGGACCCAGGATCCATCACAAGTAGATAGCAATGTTCCTCAATTAGAAACTACTTTTGATTTTCTTAACTGGTATGACAAACTTAATGAGGAGAGCTTAAATGCTAATGATGAACCCTATCTGGCTTACCAGAAACAGTTGGAAGATCGGAGAAATGAATGCATAGCACTGACCGATCAGGTATATATTTGTGATAATTCTAACACATGATTGCTTAATAGAAAGATGAAACTTGGTTTGTAAGTGATTTATTTCCTTAAAATTAATAATGAATATGAATTTTACAAAGATACTTATGTAATTGAAAACTAAAGTTAATGCAGAAATAAATTGGTTCTTGACTGTTATATTGTTTCTATTTTTTAGATAAATGCAACCATGCTTGACCTAGATAAGTTAACTAATGAATATAACCTGGTCTCTAATAAGACAAATGCTCTACATACAATGAGTGAACAATTGCTGTCAGATCAGAATAAGCTCACAGAAATTGGTAAGTGTTATGGATGTTAAAATCTTATCAATCATCCAAATTATAAGAAAGTGTGTCTTAATTTTCATAATTTCTAGGAGAGGATATCAAACAAAAGTTACATTACTTCACCCAAGTTGAACACTTGGCCCAGCGTCTCAATAGTAGTACAATGTCCGTGAACAGTGAAACTTTCTTCAATGTTCTTTCGAAAATTGATGAGTGCTTGGATTATATGAGAGCTAATGTAAGCCTTTATTTTTGATAAAACATTGTCATCTACTTTATAAAATATTTTTTTGTAGTCTTATACTATTCTGTTTTCATTTATATTTTTCAGAGTTCATTTAAAGAAGCCCAACTTTACTCGTTTAAGTACCGTCACTTACAAAACAGAGCCATATCTCTGATACAAAACTATGTAAATAACATTCTAAATCATGCTACGGAGCAGATATTGACACCCGATGAATCTAGTGAGAGTGAAAATGTTGATACAGCATATGCTGTATATTTTGGGAAGTTCCTAGCCATAGCACCCAAGTTAAAGATGGTGATTAGTGAAGTGGAGAAAAGGGCAGAACATAATGAAGAGTATGTTAAACTTTGTTTATATTTAAATAGACTATATGATTTAATATTTTTAAAATATTAAATAAAACTAAAATTTAAAAGTTAGTGTTAAGTGGCTGAGTTTTAGTTTCCAATAATTTAAGAACCACTGCATTAAACGAGATGATACCAGTAGTATTGGGTACTTACTATATCCCAAAATAAAAAAAACAGTGTGACAATACAGTCAAAGCTCTTTTATCAATAAATTTGATATAAAACTGACTATATTGTGTATAAAATTTTTATATGATAAAAGTTTTGTATTGTTTAGCATAATTGAAAACCTAGCTAGAGCCTTAAAGATGAGACAAACATATCATTAAATGTGCCAGTTATGCTGAATTTTTTTTATTATTCAGTGTAACTAAAAACCTGGTTTACTAGAGCCCAAAAAACAAGACAAATATATGATTAAATGGTTCCAGTTATTCTGGTCTGTTGTCGTCTCTCCAGCGTGAGTATGCATCTCGCCGCTGGTCCGTGGCTGGAGGCGCGGTGGACTCCTCGCTAGCCGCTGCCACCCGTCGTCACTTGCGTGATCACTGCGCCCTGCTCCGCGCCGCCTGCTCGCTATTAGCTCTCGCGCTGAAAGATGAATGTTCTCTATATACCAACTTCTTCACACATTCCTCGCCCGCGTTAACGTGAGTATTATAGGATGATTTACATAGATTGAAGTTATTTTTCTTTGGAATAAGCTATGATATTATTTCTCCTAGTTGCCATTATAAGTCGGATAGATTTAAGTTATTTTTCTTGGCAGTAAGCTATGACATTAGTTCTCCTAGTTGCCATTATAAGTCGAATAGATTGAAGTTACTTTCTTATCAGTCAAGGTTATATTCTATGCATTTTATTTTAGAGAGTATCTCCAGTCGCTCTGTAACGGCCTGTATGAGACGCTCCGTCCTCAAATCATTCACATCAATCACTTGGAGACGCTCGCCGAGCTCTGTGTCATACTGAGGGTCGAGGTCATTGAGGAACAGGTCAATGATGATCGTACGTATCACACTAAAAGTCCCTATAGGGAGAAAATGATAGGATTTTTCATAATAGAATCTATTTGACAGATTTTTGTGGGTCATAACAGTAACAGTTACATTACTTGGGGTCAATAATAGTACGTAACAGACGTAGAAGGCTATAGCAGAGATACAATGATAGGATATTCCTAGGATTTCTCAGCATAAAATCCATTTACGGACTTTTATAGTTCATAACAGTTGTCAGTATATATTTATCCAGTTACATTACTTGGGGTCAATAATAACCCTACGTATCAGACGTAGAAGGCCATATGCAGAGCAATAATGATGGGTTATACCTAGTATTTCTCATGGATACAATCAATTTTACCCATAATTAACGTATCAGACGTAGAAGGCCATAGCAAAAAAATAATCATGGGACATTGCTGGGATTTCTCATATAGACAATTAATTATACCAATTAATATAGGTAGTCTAATAACATTACTTGGTATTTTTTCATAAGTTCCTCTATCTTATATTTTCAGCGGCCCTCTCTCCTCTGGGTGTTGCTGCTCGATCTCTGCTCCAAGACGCTCAGGAACGTCTCGTGTACCGAGCTCATGTTCACTTGAGAGATGATGTGTTAAGATACCGACCAGCGCCCGGAGACCTCGCATACCCTGACAAACTACTCATGATGGAGGTTATTATATAATGGATATAAAATTTAATACTGAAAAGTATACTACATTACTCAATACTTAATTTACCAGTATATCAGAGTAACAAATATTATAGCTAAGATATAATTGTCTAATGAGGCGTACATCGAATGAGGTAGTTTTTCATGAAACACTCAAAATTTTTATACAGGGTGACTGGTGAATTACTATCGATACTTGAGGACGTGATATTTGACGATCATATATGACAAAATAAAAATTAATAAAACATAAATATTAATAAACTTCTAAGTAAAGTTAACCAAAAGTTATGTAATTAATTACGCATCGTGTGAACACCCTACAGATTAGGTATACACATACACACACACACGCGTGCGGCGGCGTAGTGTTGTATCAGCACGCCGCCGCACGCGTCCACACTTGGAACACTTGGAACGTGTCCACAAAAATTAAGTACCTATTTTTTTTACATAATTCGAATGAGAATCATGTACCGAGTACTCTCCTTAAATATTGATAGTAATTCACCAGTCACACTGTATATATAAAAATTTCGTGTCACGTGTTTGTCCGCGATGGACTCCTAAACTACTAAACCGATTTTAAATTTGATTTGCATTCCGTGTGCATTTTGATCCAACTTGAAAGATAGGATAGCTTACTATCAATTTATAGTCACAATATTATTTTATTGCAAATTATTTGTCTATTAAAGAAAATTATTTGTCATTATTACAATTGTATGTTGACCGAGTTAAGTAAGTATTCAATAGATGACGCTATGTTAAAAATACAAACGTCATATATAAGCGACTATTTAATAATAGCATAACATCGACTTATACTAATGGACATGCCGTACCCCTATCATCTGCAGTAATTTTTTGGTTTAAAAAGAGTGAGAGAGATGGCCTATGCTTTCCGTCTAGCACTATCTCTTTCCTCATAGGTACGGTACTATTTTGAGAGAGATAAAGATAGACCGAAACTTCGTTTCCTCTCTTTCTTTCGGAGTGCCACAATTCTTATCTCTAAGGCATATCATTAGTATAAGTCGATGAGCATAACCATCATGTGTTTCTGAGGCTAAGGTATAACCTAAATTTATTTATTAAAAAAACGTAACAGACATTTCTTGATTATAGGGCGATACGAAGTTCGCCGGGTCATCTATGTAATTAATAATCTATATTATAAATTGTAAAATTATTCAAACTTATCTTATAGTTTTTTTCTTATAGAGTTATATTATTCTAGATTCCATAGTTATATTATTTTTAATATTAAAATTAAATGTTTAAAAAAATCTTATAAGAAATTTACATAAACTAATCGTTTTTCAGCAAATAGCCATGTCCCTTCAGGAGCAAAGTTTGAAGCGGAGTGATTCACGTAACTCGATGATATCCGATACGTCCTCCACGTCTCAGGAGGTCGCTAATATCACGGTCGAGGCCCAAAGAAGACCCCAAGCGTCACCGGCTGACCTCCACGGCATGTGGTACCCCGGGGTCAGGAGGACCCTGGCTGCATTATCAAGACTATATCGCTGTCTAGAAAAACGAGTATTCCAAGGACTTGCACAAGAAGCTATATCTCTATGCGTCCAAAGCGTTGACAGCGCTGCCAAACAAATATCAGCTACAAAAACCAGCGTCGACGGAGAATTGTTCCAGATAAAACATCTCCTCATACTAAGGGAACAAATCGCACCATTCCAAGTCGATTTCGTTGTCAAAGAAACGACTTTAGACTTCAGCAACATGAAGAATGCGGCTTACGGTCTGATACAGAAGCCACGGCAAATATTTTCATTGAACAGCAATAATGCTTTACTGGAGTTCCTTTTGGAAGGGACGCCGATGGTGAAGGAACACTTATTGGACTCTAGGAAAGAGGTCGACAGACAATTAAAGGCTTGCTGCGAAACTTTCATCAAGTATGCTACGGAGATCATGGCTGGACCGCTGGTTGAATTTATTGAAAAGGTCTGTGACTTAAACTGACATGTAAATTTTGTTACATTAATAATTGATGGAAATGAGAATAGTTTCACCAAAAAAAGTATTTATGTTGATGATAGTAAAGTTTAAACAGTATCTTAGAAAAATTGGAACAAAATAGAACTGTTTTATTCTTATATGCATTTAAATAAATTGTATCAAATCACTTTATGTATGAACGAGATTTTGTGAATTATTTTAGGCACAAGCTTTCAGTCCAGCAGATCAACTGAAGCTTCAGCCGTGGGCTGCTCCGGATCAACTGGGTCACGTAATAAAGGAAACTCAGAAGCGTATTAAGACACACCTCGCGCCTCTACAACGATCAATGCAGCTTTATCTCTCCAACAAAGAAACAGAGTTCATTCTATTCAGACCTATACGAGTGGGTATTGATATAAAATACCGTATTTTGTTTCAGATTTATTTTAATTAAAACATTTTAGTGTATTTCACAATATTACATATTTTTGGTAGAATATTGAACAACAATTACAAATATAGTTGTAGTTTAAACACTCAAGTGATGTTATTAATGAAGTTAGCTTAGTTAAACTTTATGTTAAAATAGATTGCATAACATTACTCAATACTTTTGCTTTATTTCAGAACAATGTTGTTGGTTATTTCGTTCAAATGGAACAGCTACTGACGAACTTGGGTTATTCATATGAAGACACCCTGATAGTGGCGTGTCCTACTCCAGAACAGGTTTCGGTGTTCATTTCTTCAGCAAGTCTTATTAGCCATAGTGAAGCTGTTCTGCCTTATGGCAAGAAGAAGCAGGCGACTGTTAGAAAACCTAGTGTCACTAGTATACCAGAGACGGACAGCAAAAATACTGAGGAAAAGGCTATACAGGATGTTTAATTTATTACTTTAAATGTAACTACAGAAACATTGATATAACCATTCTATATAATGTTAACAATTAAAAACATATACATGGTTAGATTTTGTTTATTTACAATGTTTTATTACTTATGTTACTATAATAAATACATACACCAAAGACATAGCGTTTTAATTGAATAAAACAACTGACATTTGGACAGGAGGTTTAATAGGGTGTCTTAAATGATTCAAATTTCACTAACGTTAGTAACTACATGTTTACGCCCTGAGCCAGTACATTCCGGAGCGGATTCTGGTGTAATCTAAGAGGGCCTCGGTGGGACCAACCGCGGCTACGGCTGGGCAGCGGTCGTAGATGAACTTGTAACAGACATCGCGGACATTCTGAGCAGTCACAGCATTGATGCGGGCATCGAGTTCGTGGATGGGAATGCGACGGTTGTAGCAAAGGATCTGGCGACCAATATCTTCACATACTGGGGTTGTTCCATCGAGTTGCAACAACATGTTTGTCTTGAGGATGTTCTTTGCCCTTTCTACTTCACCTTCAGTCACAGATGTACATAGCTTCATCCATTCATGTTGAATATTGAATAACATATCCTCAATCTGCATGGGCTCGGCAACATAGTAGATGCCCCAGAGACCAGTGTCCTTGTAACAAGTATTGAATGATTGGAAGCTGTGGCATAGATTACCGGCAGATGCAGCTCTTGCCAGATATGAGGCGTTGTTGGTGCCACCACCTTGAGAACGGTCCCAAGCCCCAACAAGTGTATTGGCAACCATCAAAGGAATGTTATCAGGATCTGTCCAACCGGCACCCTCGACAGCAATGGCAATATGAGCCAAAGGCATTGAATCATCACGGACCCTAATTTCTGAACCAGTATAACGGCAAGGAGCTAGTTCGGGGACATCAATTGGAGTGTTCTTCAAACCACCAAGATGTTTTTGGGCGAGGTCTACAAGTTTACCATGTTCAATTCCTCCTGCTCCTGAGAGAACAATTCTGCTCGGTTGGTAGTGTGTTTTAATGTATTGCTGAAGATCAGACTTAGAGATCTTTTTGATATTTTTGGTTGGTCCTAAAATGGTTTGACCCAAAGGAGTACCTTGGAACGCTGTGGCGTGTAAGTGATCAAATACAACCTCCTGCAAATTACTTTCAACGTCTTGCATTTCACGAAGAATGACTCCTCGTTCTCGTTCGATTTCGGGTTCAGCGAGTGATGAGTTTTGAATGATGTCAGCAAGGATTTCTACAGCGACGGGGACGTCGTTAGCGAGACATTTTGCGTAAAATACTGTCTGCTCCCTTGATGTGTAAGCATTGAGATGGGCACCCATGTTTTCCACAAGTAATTCTAAATCTGTCTGCGACCTCTTACTTGTACCTTTGAAAGCCATGTGTTCTAAGAAATGGGCGACACCATTGTTTTTGGATGTCTCATACCTTGATCCAGCGTCGATCCACAGCCCCACGGTCGCAGTAGCGGCGCCAGAATCTTCAGACGCAACGCGGATTCCATTATCCAGTACTGTTAACTGAGTTGGGGGGACATTAACAAGGGCCTGTTTATAACCAACTGCTGTAGCCAAGGCTCGGGCATTGGTCCCCTTTTTTGATACCAATCGTAAAGTATTTGCGACTTTCAACATTTTTCTTTTTATCCTTGCTCTTTATGAATTTTTGCTCGCTCCTTTACGTAATGTGTAATATTCTTGCTAGATGTCAAAAAGGGTACGTCTGAAAATTTAATCATTTGTATGGGTTAAAAAACCACAGTATATAAAATTTTCTTAAAAATACAAATAAAATGTCGTATATAATAAACGTTCAAATATATAAACAAATTACAATTTTGAATTTGATTAGTAAAAGAATTAAATCTTTATTAATTTCAAGAACATAAAATGTATAAATACTTAACGTAGGTAACTAATATTCTGAACTCGTGTAAAGGAACGTTCTATAGAATTACATGAAAGAAATCATGTGGAAATCATATCGTTCACGCCTTTTCCATTTCATCGGAATATTACGAAAGCAATGATGTACAGTGAAGATCGCATTATAGTTAATTTCGCTAAACTAACTTGGGAAAGTGTCCGGCAATTATAGGCATTATAACGAACCTAGCACAATGTTTTACTGGTGATTAAATTCTATCGTCATGACTACAATGAAGAATCCTAATTCGTCGTCTTCTAAACTCGCAATTCTTAGTCACATTAAGTACGAGCACCTGGTAGCTGGCATATCAGGTGGTGTTACATCAACGTTAATTCTGCATCCGTTAGATCTAATCAAAATTCGTTTCGCTGGTAAGTGTTATGTTGCGACCAAGCTTTGTCACTTGTCAGTTGCAAAAAATATGAGCAAAATAAATTGCAAGAATTAAACTTATTGCCCGAATTAAAATTCTAACGTTCCATATTCATTTAATGAATACAATTTAAATACGAAACCATATAGGGCCTCATGACCTTGGACTTGAAAATTTAATAAACATAAACCTGGAAAGAAAACATCTGATGCAATTATGTCTCCAATTTCATTGCATTCTAGTTATGACCTATTTTATATACAATATTTGTTTACATGATCAAAGATCATATATACATTATATTTACCCTGCAGTTCACCTAGACATATTTTTCAAAATAAATCTTTCTTTTAGACAAAATGACTGATTGTTTAATTAAATAACAATAACAAATAACACAGTGTTATTATAAATAAACATCTCAGTCAATTCTCATCTTAATAAAGATTCTGTAATATAATTTATTAAACTGAAGATTATCTTAAATCATATTTTTTAATGTTAAATGTTAATATGCTGTTTAAAACACATTTCATTGTTAATTTTTCATTGTACGCCAGCATGTCACTTATTTATAACTCTGAATAAATAACGCTTCAATTGGGATGTTAATTGTGTCTGAATTCACATGCTAATGTTTAACAAGTTATTATATGAAAAAATGGCTCAAATAATAATCATTGTTCATGCTTTCTTTATAGTTTTACATATAGTAGATATAAGATGTGGCATTATTTTTCTAAATTGGTCTAGTTAAGTATAACAATAATGCAAGAATTTCCTGATAAATTTGACTTTTGGCCTTAGATTGGAGCAAGCTAAAAAATATATTTTTTATTATCAATATACAGTGATAAGCTTAAACCCTACTTAAGTATGTAAATATAGATTTTGTTTATTTTAAGGTGACTTTAAAAATATACTCTTACTTATTAAGTGCTCTGTTTGTCAAATTTATTAAATTTTATGTTATATACAGTTAATGATGGAAGAACTGCAACCGTTCCTCGTTACGATGGTCTCAGTAGTGCTTTTGTCACCATTGTCAAGAAGGAAGGAGTCCGAGGCTTGTACAGAGGCGTCACACCTAATGTGTGGGGCTCGGGATCTGCTTGGGGCTTTTACTTCTTATTGTGAGTTACGTCCATATTTTCAAAAATTTAAAGTTCAAAAATTTAAACCATCTAAATCAAATTAGTGTTTTTTGATGGATACAATGTTGTATACACCTGTAAAGGCAAATCATACTGGATTGAAAATTTAGTGCATATAATATTGTGTTAGTTATTATGATAAGTTGATGGTGTATCTTAATAAAAAAAAAGGATAAAAGAAGTTTTATACATCAATTTTACTAATAAAGAACAACTCCTGCAAAATATTGCATCAAATAGTTATTTAAGAGGCAGATTCTATATTTATATGAATTGTATGTCGAGTTTGTTCTTAATTGGCAATGAAGTTAATATGTTAATAAAGCCATTACATACATTATGCATGACATTAAAGCAGAGATGCATATCTATAGTACTTTATACATATTTTATACATGATGTATGAAATTGTGTGTATTATTTATTATTTCAGTTACAATGCTATAAAGACTTGGATTCAAGGTGGTAATGCTCGAACACCACTGGGCCCGGGTCTTCATATGTTGGCGGCTGCACAGGCCGGGGTGCTGTCGTTAGTCATGACCAATCCTATATGGGTGGTTAAGACTCGTTTGTGTCTTCAATACAGTGAGGAACATAATATCGCTGATAACAAACGCTACAGGGGAATGGTTGACGGCTTGAAGAAGATTTATAGGACGGAGGGTGTTAGGGGATTATACAGGGTGAGTTATATTATAATATATAACATTCGGATTATATAATATTTACATTTCCTTTTCTGATGCATTGTTGTATGAAATAATGAAAATAAGCTGTCTGTAATAATTTATACAAAGAGATAAATGTTGAATGTTAACGAGTCACATATTAGGTAAAACGAGGATGTATGTGGTTCATTAATTTAAAATGAGCTTAGATTTTATTTTAATGTCTTAACATTGCTAACACTTATTATTCATTAGTTGAAATACATAATATATAATTTTGTTGCAAAAATTTATCGAAAATAAATCATATGTATTTATTACTATCAATGCAATCAATCTCTTTTGATAGCAGATAAGTGAGATATTATTCAAAATGCTTTGTCTTGAATTTACTTACTTTTTCTTGTGTGTTAAATAAGCTAAATCTCCCTATTATATCATAATATATTTGTAATCTTTATGATATTTTTCAATAGTATTCTCTCTTTATGTAATATAATCGTATAATCATATTTATTTTTCATATTTTTAAAGATGGAATTGTTTAACAATGAAAAAAAATTATGAGTCACTGAAGTTTAAAAGTGATAAAAAAATGAAGATTTAACCGAGACTTATTAGGAATTTGAATAAAAGTTGTCTATGTTTAAATTAATTCAAAACTATGTATGTATATAACGTGACGCGTTTCTCAGTAATTATATGATATTACAGTAAATTATTAAGTAGGTCGTTAAATTATATGTGAACTTTGTGAGCGATCGATAAATAAGCGTGTACTTTGAATATCAAACGTCAAGTAATTTATTTTAACGTTCGTAGTATTTCACATAATTTTCTCAAAAAGAATCTAAACCAGCCAACATATGGTCGATTTGATAATAAACACGTTACAAAGAAAATAGTTATGTCATTCAATGTTGCTGTGAGTTTTGGCATTCGTTCAAATCCCGTGATATACAACGGGAACCGAATAACTTGAAATTATTCTTCATTTCATTTTCGTTTCACTGATTACAATTTAATTACCTTTGTTGAATTCTTTGTTACCATTTTTGTTGATTTGTTATGAGAGTTTTTGTATGACGTTGAATACCTATTGTATCTGCATTTAATTTCCAGTCCGCACAATGTTCAATGTACTTATTGTTCAATGTTCAATAACATTTCCGGGAATATGTTTTTTTCCACTTTCCATTAAGTAGATCACCTGTCAAGTCGTGATAACAGAAGTAACCTTGTTTAGTATTATGTATATATATTGATTTGTATACGATTTCTTGTAATATAGAGATTTTATACTAATATTTCTAATAGTTATATGAATAAAACAAAACACTCTTTATTTTAAAGAAATTCAGTCTTCCGTTTCACTGTATATTTTTTAAATGCGTTGGTTTTCTATTACGTCACAAGAATCGTGCTAACAACGTTTTGACTAGAATTCTCGTATTCATGGTGCAATCTTTGGTAATTTCCATTTGGATGTACCATAAATATTAATAATTCGTGTGATATAGTAGTTGAAATTAAGCTTATATTAAATTAATTATCCCATAAGTATTACTTAAGCATAGCTTATTTTTTTGAGGTAGACATATTTTTTATTAATAATTCTATCTTTATATATATAATTCTTCTGTGAGTGTGTATGTCACTGAACTTCTCTCAAACAACTGGACCGATTTTGATGAAATTTTTTGTGTGTGTTCAAAGGGATCTGGGAATGGTTTAGATTCACAATTTTGTCCGCTGGACAATGTTTTTTTAATTAATGACACAAACGTTTTTTTTTTAATGACATTAGATTAATATGTCAATCATTCTGTCGCACTTCAAAACACGGAGATTTATGGCTTTAATAGGTAATCTCCAAAAATATAAATAAAAACGTAAGAGATATTTCTTGATTATAGGGCGATACGAAGTTCGTCGGGTCTTCTAGTATTATTATATAGTTTTTATTCATGTTTTTTTTATTGAGTTTATTAATGATTTCGGAACGTATCTTCCAGGGTTTCATTCCCGGTATGTTCGGCGTCTCCCACGGAGCCCTGCAGTTCATGACCTACGAGGAGATGAAGAATAGGTACAACCAATACAGGAATCTACCTATTGATATAAAATTGGTGAGTCGATTAAGTTTACAAACAATTACATGCCTGATTTTGTTTACAAAACATATGTAGAACTGTTATGATGCGTTTCATGTTATCAATTTATAAGTTCTTGCCCTCAAAATCTTCGGTATTAAAAATTGTTCCTTTGATAATACATATAATGCAATGTGATTCGTAAGTAGTTGTGATTTATATATTTAATCTGTCGTTTGTATAATGATTAGTGCAATTATATAATGTTCATGATTTACTACATGTACCTATAGCTGTTAAATAGTTGAGATAATAATAATAAAAAATTAAAAAAAATCTTTATTTTCTTTAACAAATTGGTACTTAAATATAAATATAAAGTTATTGGAGATATATATATATTTAATCTCCATCCAGTACTGTATAAAGAATACTCTAAAATAGCAGTGTAAATATAATATTTCCAGACTTCAGCCGAATACCTAACATTCGCTGCGATATCGAAGCTGATAGCAGCCGTGGCGACGTACCCCTACCAGGTGGTGCGAGCTCGTCTCCAAGACCAGCACCGCGTGTACAGCGGCGCCTGGCACTGCGTCACGGAGACCTGGAGGTACGAGCGTCTCGCCGGCTTCTACAAGGGCCTCACGCCGTATCTCCTACATGTAACGCCTAACATCTGTCTAGTAATGCTAATATGGGAAAAGTTCACCAACAACGATTGATGTTATCTGATGGGAAATTTACTTTTTCTATTCGCGGTTAGGATTTTAGTTTTGACTTTGACAGCTGTTTGTCATAAGTCGCGCTCGATTTTGACAGCTGTCAGATGCACTGAGTGCGCCAGTAAGGTAAGCGTATTGTTAAAACTAAAGTTATCATGCATTTTTTGAATTGTGAAATATCCTGATGTTTTTTTTAAAGTTTTTGACATTAATTCTAACAAATGTTTGTAAACTTATTATTGTACAAGTTATTGGAAATACATTTGCCGGACCCCTGTGTACACGAAATAAAGTGAATAATTCTTAGAAGAGAATGAAATTTAACCGAAACATTTTGACATTAAAAAGGGCATTAACTTTTTTCGATAACTCGCCGCAAGTTATGGAAAGGGAAGTACACATTTCTGCAGTATCTGGGAATAAATAAATCAACAAAATATGTATTTAATAAAAAAAATATTAAATAAATTTTATGTCCCATTAGACATTGAAATTAGGCATTTAATTTGACGACCGTGATATTATAATTATTTATTTGTTTAGCTGTTACAGGTTTCTGTTATATAGTGATATTTAAATCGAGAACTAAGTAATAATGTAGAAAAGAAAATGTATTTAAATGTATAATATAATCACAATAACTTTTATTAATATTATATAATTTTTTGTCATTTTGTACTGTATTGTGTGGCCCATTAAAGGTGTAGACTAAGCTTAATATGAGGCAGTGAAATAGCGTCGTTTTCATCTATATCATATAATTGTTCATCACTGGCTTTATTATCGAATGCATATCATTAATTCAACATTTTGTTTGATTGACTTGTATAGAAAATTATGATAAATAAGCCAATGATACATAATGCCTGTCTCACGACATATGTTGTGTTTCTTTTTGTTGTTTATATTCCTGTATATATAATATCTTAGTACAATTTCCCATCAGATCGTCTGATATATAGTTATAATTATTTTTTTTGTGATAATAGTGCTTAGAATGTCTTGTAAAGATTTCCTTTGTGTAAAAGACATTTTTCTCTATTTCTCTTTTACATAACGTTACATGTGTGGTGAGACGACGATAGGTTCTTTATTGTTAAATCTTTGTTTTTAGTATCATTTAAACGAAATTGGAAAATTCACAATTCTAGTACAAAGTTCTTAATGAATGTTTCACTGAAATAATTTCTCTATCAATAGAGTTTTAGGTGAATTTTAAAAATAAATGTGATTTAGAATTTAGTCACATGTCAGGAAAAATACTTAAATCTAATATAAGTCTGTGTTTAATATAATTTTTACGATGATTGTTATTTGAAATCAAGAATATTGTTTCATTTCTGAACGATAATTTATAATTTTTATAAGGACTTTTTTAACAGCAATCATAATGACAAAGAGATTGGAAGAAAATATTAAAAAAATTACAAAAAAAATGTTTAAAAATGATATTGACAACTGTAAGGCTTTTTGCTGACATGTATCAATATAACAACCAAATAATGTGATGTTTTATTTGAAGGCGTTGTGTTAGCATCATTAGTTCTTAGTGTATCCATGGGTGGCTGGCCACTATTTCACTGAGACATGTATATTTTTATATAATAATTAGCTAGAAATTGTTTCAATCGCCTTTTCAATTTGTATGATCAATAAATGATAGCAAATTGATGAATCGGTGTGTTGTTTTTTATTTTTTCGAACTCGGAAGCCTTATATGGATTTTAAGACGGTTTAGTTTTGTTGGTGAGTATGATATATTATATTCGGTTTTAATGATCAATAATATATGTGAAAAAACAATTTCAGACATGAAGGCTTGCTGGGTTTCTACAAAGGTCTCAAACCGAACTTGGTCCGCGTCGTCCCGGCCACAATGATAACTTTCCTTACATATGAGAATGTCTCACATTTTATGCTGAGACGTGAACAGAAAATTAAACTACCCTCCTGAGAAACTTTGCTAGCTATCTTGTTGAGGGTATGATTTTAATTTAAAGGTATAATTTTGTATATCCAAGAATTACTAGTGTTCTACCTAAGCACATGTATTTGTAAAAGTATAAGAATAATATCTATATTAAGAGATTTTCACTTTTGTTATTAATAATTGTAATGTGTGACTCATTCAAGTCATAGTTTTGTTTATGTAAGTTCACACAAATTAAATTTTAAGTTACTTGATACTAGGGCTGTGCTTGGTTCCTTTGGTAGAGATAATGAAGTGGTTGGCTTAAAAATACACACGAAATGACAAAGAAGCCGTATGAAAATAATTTAGGTAGTGTAAGTATAGCCACTTTAACCAATATTTAGTTTCATGTGAAATCTGTTAGTACAAATTAATTTTCTTCATTTAAGTACTTTTAGACGTGTCTAAATTGTTATTAATCCAGTGTATATAGAAAGCTTTTTTAATCTGACATCAATTATTTTATCATAAGCACTTTCCTATCTTGTTTGGTGACGTCATACACATTGACGTCACTAATGTATCATTTATTATGTCAAGTGCCGCTTATATTGTTATGTAACTGAAAATACATTTAACAATTTAATTGTAATAGTTTAATAAATCTTATTTTTAAATAATAGGTTTAAAACTATATTAAGGTAATAAATTGGTTTGTGAGTGCATAAATGCGTTTTGTTTAGTTTTTAATTATTCACATTGTGGTATGTTTGTATGTATAATTTTTTATTTCAAATAAATTTCGTTACTTAAAATTATAAGCTAAAAGTTTTTCTTTTTTCCACCTTGTTTGAATATCCTTGATAAATAGTGTAATAAATGCTAAATATTAAATTAAATAATAACGTACATAACAATAAACGTTTCGTTAGTAGAGGTGGCTTGTTTGATGTGTTGTTAAGAACTATCAAAAATTGTAAGTATGTAGTTCTGAAAGTGATAATATCCGATCTTAAAGAAATTTAAATACAGACATAATATAACAGTAGCTATAGAATTTCGCCAAGGTAACTTGTACTATTTAATAAGAACACTGCAGTTTTGCTCTACTTTTATATGTAGTTAAACACTAGCACCTAAAATTATAAGTTAATAAAATAATGATTTGAAATAATCAACATTTATTTACCAAAGAGGTTACATCTGTCGGTATTCACGCTAAATACTAAAAGTTCAATGAAGTGCTTTTGACGCTGGTCAGAATTGTGAAGGTCAATAACTTAACCATAAGTTTTTTACTTTGTTAAGTTACAATAGTATACAAGCACTAAGAAACTATAAAATTTAGGCATTTTGAAAACATTTATTACGGAAACGAAAGCAATATAAATCAACATAAAAAACAAATATATTTACATTCAAATCGTTATCTGTTCCTTACGTCGCGATGTGTAGCGTCGCGCGGCACGCCGCAGTCATCGCGCGGGAAACTGAGACATGTCAACGTCGCAAACACTCGAACGATTATCGTGCGCGGGTGAATTCTAAAGTTCCAAATTCAAAAATGGTAAGTTTTTTTTGTTGTTTATATGTTGACTGTTTTGAAGCATGGTTTATGAAAAGCAAAGAGTTTACATGGACTTTATTATGTAATATAACTATTTTTTCTTGCTGTTGGATTTCATTGTCACGAGTTTTAAGGTGAATATATATATATTTTATCTTTATCAATGGGCTTATCGTAACGTTAAACCAAAATATGTATTGATGTTAGTATTAGTCTTGCATGATTACATTTCTCGAAGGACACGATATTAAGTTAATATAAATATATGACAAATATTAATATTTTACAAACTTTTATAATTTTTGGGTTTAAAATTATGGTAAAATGTAAATAAAGGGCCAACAGTATTTTAAGCAAAAAGGTTATATTCTCAAACTATGTACTATGTATTCGTTATAAAATAATAAGCACCTACTGTAGATTAAAGTGAAATTGTAAGAACTTAAATCTATACTGAATAAAAATATACAAAATTTTAACTGAGGTCATCGATTAATTTTATAAACAAAATTAATTTCAGGAAATAAGTAAAGATAATCTGTTCATATATAATATAATCCTTTACTATTGTACTCTTAAGGTATTACACTTATTAGTGTAATACCTTCTTTTGAGGATTTTAAATCTTTACTAAATGTCCCTTCACTCTAGTCATAATCTAATTATAATTCGTTTTTATTGATTTTCACTTGGGTAAATATTGTCAGAAAATGAATTATGTACGTTAAAGAGAAAGAGATCTAAAAATTCTCAATATACCTTTGATAGACAAAATCCGATTCCGCGAACGATCCAAACGATAAATGTTTTTTTAAATGCTATATTCAGTTTATTTCTTGACCTATTTTACGTTGTAAGGCTACAAAATTACAAAATATTTTATACTTGTTGTTATTTAAAAGGGAAATAAAGGTTAAACAATAGATGTTATTGTTAGATGGCTGAATTAAAATTGGTCACAGATATTTGACAAAGGCACATAAAGCATAGGCTCCTTTTTGTATTAAAAGACTTTTTTGTTGCATTCCCGCCTCTGGTGCGAAACCTGTTCGCTGAGCTAGTTAAAGGCCTAATTACCAGACAACTACCAAGCACCTTTGAAGTCCAGAAAAGATTGATGATTGTACCTGACAGAAATAATTTGTTTCGATATAAAATGATAAAATGTTCTTATGTGACTTTTTAACTCTAAAATAAGGATTTCAAGTCTTAAATGAAATAGCCAAAAGAAAGGGTTTTGTTTAAACCAAGGAAAATTAAGCTCTAACTTATTACTACTAGCACATTTCTTACCATTATTTTGCACTCGTATTAGAAGTTAAGTGAACAGTTATCAATGAATTTCTCAGTAGTACCTCCGATAGCTAAACAGTACCTATTTTATCCGAGCAAGTAGATAATCAAAACTATTAAACGAAACATAATAGTTGTTGAGGAAAATTACTACACACACATACATAAAATCTTTCGTCTTGTTATTCGATATAACCATAGATTATATAAATAAATTATGTAAAAGATAATATAAAAACTTTTTTAAAAATTGTATTTGACATCAGGCCAAGGTGACAGTCATATTAAGCTGATTCCATTAATTCCGGATCTACAGATAATAATTTATGAGTAATAAAACAGCTGTTATCTTTGTTTTTATAATTTAAATAGCAAAATGAAAACCTGATGACAAAAAGGAAGTTATTATAATGTTAGTTCGGTTCTGTGATGTACTATACTGGGGTCTGAAGATCTCTCATATATTTATATTTAATTTACTAATTACTTTGGGTCAAGTTTGGACCAGTATACGTAAAAATTTTTTCATGACATACGAAGTCCCAAGTTCCCAACAGGTATTAAGCATACGATTACATTACTATTAATTGTGTTAATTCGATACTGTTAACTAAAAACTGGTGTCTATTGCATATAAGTAAATAATTTATTGGAAAATATCAACTAACTCTCCATAATTATCAGGAGAAAAGTCGCAACGCACGCGCATTCATGCAGAAATAGGAGCCGAATACGTGTTATTATTGTTAACTAATGTATCATTAGTTAGGATATAAAGTTTTTGAAGAGAAATATTACGATTTAAATAATAAATATAGGATTTATAATCGATATTAGTAAATAAATCAGTTGAAATAATGTTCTGTTTGAGTCATCAACCATTGAAAAATTTTCGTAATAATATGGAGTAATTTGAACTTAATAAGTAGAAACATATTAAATATAGCAGTACATATATACATCTATTTAGTTGTATGTACGATTAGCAAATAATATTATTACATATATAGTTAATTATATATATTATAGAGACAATTTCTAATCGAATCACTGGGGTGATGGTTAGTTCAGTTCGCTCGTTTCCATGGCAACCCTAAGATACGTACGTACGAAGAGTATAAATTGTACATAAATTATTTTTAGTAGCCCCTTATCATCAAGAGGGCAAATGTTTACTTCTGAACGGTTCGATAACTATTGCGTCTCAATTGTTTGTTGAATGTACCCAGAACTAATTCATTTATGTCGCTGATATTTTGTGTTTCACGTTTTTGTATGTGCCTAATTGTTTAACAGATAGTATTTAATTAAAAGTGTATTAAAGTTGAAAACTGAAAAATGCCTAAAAATGGAAGACGTTACTCACAGGTTGGTTTTCTTTATTAATTTTTTGTTAATTATATGTTTAATAAAACTAGTTTTTGAAAATGGTCCGTTGAATATAAATTAGACTTGGTTTGTAGTTTGTAGGAATCTTGAGATATATCTTAAGAATTAGTGGTTAAAAGCAGAGTTGTAGAATTCGGTGACTTCGTAAGCAAGGGTTCAAAATTATTATACATAAATACGTAGGTATTTGAATGCTTATGTAACGATATAGTAATATTTTTGATTGCTTAAATATCACTTGTCCGCGTGCGTCATTAAAACTAAATTTATGTTTTTATTTCATAAATATTTATTTTACACTTAAGGTTTTTAAATTTTAAAAAGTATTAATATTTACCCAAATTTCTGAACTGTGTTTCATTAAATAAGGCAAAAATTTCCATAAAGTTTATACTTTCTTTTTCGAAAATTTTACCGAAATTACGTCATCTATTAGTAATGAAATATGAATTTTATATTCAAAATTATCTTGATTGATAAGAGAATAACATCACTGTGTTTTATTGATAATAAGTATTACGTAGTGTGTCACTGTTTGTAGATACAAGTGTTTTAATTTTGCATAAAATATCTTTATTCCAAAATACTTTATAATTTTATTACAACTTAAAGAGTTCCTTAATATTTTTAATTGAATATTGGAGTGTTAATGTGACAATGATATAGGTCAATGACCGCGAAATGATAGCAAAGGCTTAAGTAAAACGTACTACAATTGAACTTAGAATAATTGATTGTGATAAGTGTGAAATAATTAAATTAATATGACTGAAAAGACGATACGAGTATCTCACGGGAAGAATAATGTGAGTTTATATATACCTAGGTATATAAAAATAAGATTGCCTCTACTATATACTTAGAAGTTTGTTAATATTTATGTTATATTAATTTTTATTTTGTCATATATGATCGTCAAATATCACGCCCTCAAGTATCGATAGTAATTCACCAGTCACCCTGTATATATAAAAGAAAGTCGTGTTAGTTACACTATTTATAACTCAAGAACAACTGTAGGGATATGGTTGAAAATTGGTGTTGATATAGCTTAGTACCAGGAGACGGACATAGAATATTTAATTCTGTTCGATCGGAACAAAAATCTTAATAAACTCCAATATCTGGTTATTTAGAGCCTCTAAGGTGGATTAAAGTTTGCCCGGTCCGCTATACATATATTACTAATTTCGAAATTAACGCAGACGAAGCCGCGGATAAAAACTAGTAAATATATAAAACATAAAATTTTGTTACCATATCTCCTATAATATGAGCTGTCATTTCAAATAAAAAGTCATGTTTTGTCATTGAATATAATATTTTTGGTGTAAAATTTTATTTATTATCTAAGTATGACTATGATTATAATATCAGCAAGATGATTCCGCGAATGGAATTCGATGATTAGTTGCGATTTTGATTCACTTACTCATTATATTTATTGATATTGCAACATATTCATAATATTATGTGATTTTGACCTTAGTACCAGCCCTAAAGTTCTATATCCTAAAGTTGCATCGTACACTACGTTCAGTTTGTAGTTTTTCCTCAGTTTTCGCACACTTTTATATTTTAGGTTTATGAATGACAAATGTATAATACTCAATTAGCAGTGTGATGAAGCTAGTTTGTACTATTACAAAACTATTCGTAGTTCTACCAGTAATAAATGATAATATGTACTTTCAAAAATAGTCTTATTCGCCGTTTTGAAGTTCAAATCTTTCAAATAGTTACGGCTGTGTAATTCTACATACATATATTGGTTGTTACACATATAAAAAAATACCTCTTTCAACGTCAATATCATTAGGATATATGTATTACAGATACTTAATATAAAATATATTAAGTATTAGAAATTAAGTAGTAATTTAGTTGTCAAAATCAAATACAATTACTAGTTAAGTAAAAGTTTACTTAAAACAAACTTGTATCAATACGATAGTTCATATAATATTAGCCATTTGGTACTTTTATCACGCGTCATCTTATTTTTGAATTCTTTACAAAGCCGATATATTTTTTTAACCTCCAAGTCTTGTTGATGTCGATGTTTATTGAGAAATATGTTCTTATTAATCTTTAAGTGATGCTAGTAGTTTCATTGATACTTCCCGTATCGTACGTCAGTAATAGACATCTCTTTGGCTCTATTTAGATCCTATTTAGAGTCATTTTGGTAGTCAAATTGGTATTATTCGTTCACCGTAGCGATGAAGACAGTTTATTATATATAATTCTAGTGTTACCCGCGGATTTCCCGGATGTAAAGTAGTCTATGTATTATTCCTGTATACAAAATTTTATCAAAATCGGTTCAGCCGTTTGAGCGTGAAGAAGTAACAAACATACACACACACTCACAAATTTTTGCAATTATAATATTAGTAGGATTTTTGATTCAAAATATCAAATCAGTTTCATTAGAAAATTCCTTAAATTGACCTTCAAAATGAGAACCTGTTTGAAATATGGAAAAATATTTTTTGATAACAAGTTTTCGAATAAATTTTCTAGAACATATTTCTAACGGAATTTTTGGAATGAGATCTCTTATTTTGACTACTTTTCTCAAAATATCATCGTTATTAAAAGCCAAGTTACTGATGATGTTCTAACAAATGTATAATATATTAAATACATATATTTATTTACAATAATTGTATAATCAAATTATTGTATAATACCCCCAGACGAGCTCCGCATGAGTCATATTACTCATTCGTATCACTTGGCATAATGGAAAAGATTTTCCGACTCTTATTCCTTAATTAGTGTCAAGTGACATTAAAAAAACAGATAATACGTACAATACGAAAAGTAAATCATTCGTACATATAATTTGTTACACGATAATGAACCTTATTTACAAACTTATTAGTAGTTTATTAGTGAATCTATCATTTGCGGTCGATATCAAAACTTCGATAGTCCGTGTTGTATGGATTCTCTTCCGCCAGCTCAAGGAAACCTTATGAGTGACAGTAGTTAGTGTTATGGTTCATCAACTCATAATCAGGGTCAACAAGCAATGAAGAAGACCGAATATGAAGTCTCCACGGCTGGGTTACTCCAAAATTTTACAATCATCATACACTTAGCAACTTAATAACGCAATTTTAGATCTTAGCGTTGTTGTGCTTGTATTGCGTTAAGAAATCATATTATTCTTAAATACTCTGTGATTTTTATCAAAACTTATTTTCCGACAGAGGTTTTATTGTATATAAAAATATTTATACCGTCCTCCGCCTACATAAAATATGTATGACGTTAAGAGATAATTAAAAAATGGTTCAAAAACACATTGTTTAGTATAATCATATTAAGTTCAGCTTATTTGCATATCTATTTTTAGTGTTGAAACAAGTTAAAATTATATACAGCCACCTACAGGCTACAGTTTAGATAATTCAGCCGTAAGAAAAATTACTATGTTAATTGGATGTGGGCGTGTATAGGGACTTACGTGATCTGTTCATAATTATGTATATTGAATGTACATAGTAATAGTTTTTTAAATAGAAAAAAAAACACTCTTATTAATAATCAATATGTTTTTGGAATTTTATAAAGAGTTATTCATTCCATTGACAATTTTCTATAGCGTTGTTTAAGTATTATTTCGATTGTAGAAAAAATATACAATATATATTTTTTAAATTCAGATGTTTCCGTATAGTCGTTGTGTCGCATAAATGGAAAATTTTGAAACCAAAAATCTCGAAGAGGCCTTAAGAGGTTAGTAGGAAGAGGTCGGATTTTTAAAAAACTTATCATATTCGTATTTAAATAGGCCTCTTATAATATATTTTAAATATTTTTACATTTATTAAGGAATTTAAATAACACGTCCTCATTTGATACTTACTTTAATGATTGTCATAAATTGTTTATTAATTTAAGCGTAAATATTTATTGAAAAGTTTATATTTAAAAAAAAAACCTTTGAAGGGCATCTGATTTTACTAGTAGTTAAATAATTTAAAGACTAACATTTTCATTAGATACAGATTATTTTTAATAATATAGTCCCAAATTTGAGAGGACTTAATAATCCTTTAAAAAAACAAATGTTTATCAGTATTAGTTAGTAGATGTCCGACATGACTTTAATCACGTAAACAGTAGGTATGTTAGCTGTATCAAAGTAAACCAACGGCGCGGTGTAACCGGGCCTGTTTATATTTATATGATGATCCGATAAGTATAATTACATTACGCTGAATTCCCGTTTAGTGAATCAACCCCCGTTATCGGATTGACATGAGAGGACCTTCGGTAGTTTATCCGGGGTTTACGCACGTTGGGGCGGTATCAGGAGCGAGGTCGGTGGTTCGACGGACGGCAGTCCACGCGGCGCGCTCGTCTCTCCACCATGTTGAGCGACTCCTCACCACCAGCCCCCCGCGCCCCCCCGCCCCCTCCCCCCAAACAGTCCCGCCTCAAGCGCACGCTACACACGCTCCGCTCCTCGTTCAGCCTGAGCTCGCCCTTCCACATCGCGTCGTTCGGCCGCTCCGCTACGTTCTCAGTATCGGACAGCGAGATCGCGCGCGACGAACGCACTATGCGTAAGAAGAATAAGAAAATCCGCGCAGACGCGTCGGCCGCCTCCTCGCGGAGCACTGACAGCTCGCCCGTCGTAGACAAAAAGAAACCCCTGGGGCTGCTCAAGAAGATGGGCAGCATAGGGAAGAGGAGGGGGGAGTGCTCCACGACACCCTCGCTCAGTGAAATAGAAACCGACCCGGACCCTGAACCGCAACACGTAACCGATCAGTGTGACAAAACGGAACCAAGTATCGAACACGACACCGTAAACATGGCGGGCAACGAACCAGCGGAACAAATGACAAGTATAAATAAAAACAAAGATATCACACAAACTAAAATAGAAGAACAGAAAACTGTGCTTGATCGTAATAGTCCTAAAGATCAAATACCGGATATTAAACAATCTACGCCATCGGATCAAACCACAACAGTTGGTAAGGAAACGACAACAGACCAAAACAAAGAATCCGGAAACAACTTAGATCAAAACATCGATGTAAATGAGAACGCTAAGTTCGATAAAAACAACGAAAGTGTGGATTCAAATAAACTCGTACACCAGACACAATCAGATCCGGAGGCGTCGCCGCGAAAAGGTTCTAGACCTCGTTTATCCATGACGGAATCGGAGCCATTCATTCCCATAGCCGTCGAACACCCGGTGGCCATGCGCGCCTTCACTAAGGCCGCCTGGAAGAGACGCAGCAACACCGTCATAGTGAGACCCGTCGAGGAGCCGAGTCCGGAAGGAACTATGAAGAGACGCATCGCGTTCGTAGCTCAAACGTCGGTGGCGCTCTCCAAGGAACAGGACGACGACGAAGACGACGACGACGACGAGGGAAAGGACGGCGGGGGCGAGGTGGGGTCTTTAGAGGAGGCGGTGGCGCTCGCCAGGCAGCGGCTGGCCCAGGCCGTGCACTCGCCCGCGCCGCCGCAGTCGAGCGACAACTTTGACGCCGAAGAGGAGGGAGGTGCGGACGCGATGCCGGCCTACGGAGACCTCATAGAGCCGGAGAACAAGGCCGCCAGCGACGACGAACCGGTGAGTGTAGTACTGTCGTGTCAGTGGAGGCTGGCTGGCCGTGCGATGCGCGCGACATGACCTTCGAGGAGGCAGCCGACGAGTGCTACCTGACCGTGTGCGAGTGTTGCGGCTTCAGCGCTGAGACGTCCCTACTGTTTCCAGTACGTTCCCTTTCACGATAATACACGACGGGTCGACCATGCCTGGCGTGAGTAGACCTCAAGTTTGTTATAATAATCGAATACATTCATAACGATTCAAGTGCACTATATTTATTTGGTAATAATTATAATTTAAAGTGGTAAGCACAGTTTATATACTTTTATGAATCTCTTGAAATGCAAAAAATAATAATCATATTAATTATATTTATATTTTAAAAATAATTTTATGAATTTTATAGTGAAAAAATATTAGAATACATTATTATATTTAAATGTAGCAAACATATTTTTTTGTGTACAGTAAAAAGTTTCTAGAAATATTCACAGCTTTTGAAACGTATTTATAATATTGAGCAACTTTTAAAGTAATTAGAATTAATAAGCAATTAGAATCTAAATTACCTGTATATAATATTAATTATTAATTATTTATATATATATATATATATATATATATATATATTTCTTTTAATAAATTCGATTGTATGCTTTGGTTAGTGGCTGCTATAAAAACTTTTTAATATGTTTTTGGACTGCCATAACTAATTGTGCTTATATTAAACAAAATCTGTACAAAATATACAAAAATAACGTTTAACGATAACTTCGTGGTAAGTAAATAAATACATTTTAAAATAATACACAATTCAGGAAATAATTCTTAAAATATTTTTTTTACAATACATGTAATAATTTCATACAACTTTCAGTTTTTGAACGTCTGCTTTTTAGGTGAAATGTTAATATAGTATATGTTGATTGCTTTCAAAATTATCATTTGTAATACTTTAAGCGCTTTAGAATATTTCGTAAATTAAATAACGGTCTAGCTTAAATCTGTGCAGCGCTTGATTTTTGTGGTTGAGGGCCACCGCTGAGGCATATACGTAATGTGATACCCCATATAACTTTACGCGGTTAGATTGTGCAAGTTCCATTCTATTGTATACTTATTGTTAACTAGATCATGGATATTCAATCAATAATAATGTTTCATATTAATTCTATTAAAATCCATAATGATTTTTGTATTTAAATAAATTATTTTTATGCTCGTTACACTGGTCCATTCTTGGCGACCAAACTAGTTTTTATCGTGACATAAGTCGTTTCTTTTTTTAATGTTTTACTTATTTTTTGTATCTCTGACGTCTTAATGTCGCTGTTTTTTTTTTAATTCCTGTGGTGACTCGATTTAGATACAATTAAGATAACATATTTGATTCGTTCTTATGTTGCTTTCTAGGTTCTAAGAAAAAAAACAAGAAAAAAATTAAAAAGTTTGCGAACTATTTATAACCTCCTTTGAATTTTGACATTTTAATTTTTTAAATGTCGCACGAATAATTTTTGATTTTATGATTCATGTTTTATATTTTTAAATGTATTTACTTTTTATCAGGCATTCATTAATATCGGATTTCTTCCTAACAGTTTCGAAAGGTGTTAGGTTAATGATTTTTGTATCCGAATATTGGATTATTCTGTCCTTGTTCCGTCACATATAGAGCTTCTGGGATTAAGGAAATTAAATATTTTTGGGACATTACCGTTTTGTGAATTTTAAACACAAAATTAAATTGAATGTGATTTAGTTATCATTTAATTTAAATATATTTTTACAGCCTCGTCATTAAAGGACTTCAATTGACGTTAAAATTTCACAATTTTTAATAAGCAGTTTTAAAATGAACGGTATATTATCTTATTCCGATAATTATAACTACGAGGAAGTTTAATTAATTGACATCAATTAATTTTTTCTTGGGAGGAGTATATGAAAAGAATAATGTAACACATAAAGAAAGGAAATATGTTATAAGTATTTTAAGATTTAATTGATATCAATTATAAAGTTTCTTCTATATTTTAATATCATCGTTATAATATTCAACGTTTAGTAAATATATAAAAGTAAACAAATAAGACCATATACGTCAGAGAGAATAGAATGGCAAATAGACTTGAGCGTTATCTATTGCCCGATAAGCCACCACTCCAAGTTACTTAATAAATAGTCGGTCATTGCACGGTCGAAGTGACATATCGACGAAGGTAGAAAGGAGGTAGATACCAAAAAGTTTGAGTGGAATAATTTATAGTGTAAACTTTTTAAATACTGGCCGTTTATATTTGCAAATTAAAAAAAAACAGACGCTGTAGATGTACAAAAATTATTCAGTTGTGGTGCGATGAGTTTTCTTATTGTTAACAAATTACAATCTAACTTGCGGACTTGTTTCGTTTCCTGATAGTTACTGAAAATTTTAACATGTCGCCGAAACATCACTGTGTAAGTTTTTAATTAGATATTAATTTAAATATTAAACTTTATAATTTGAACTGTTTAATTTGAGTATACGATTCATTATTATCTATCGTAGATTTTAGTATATAGTCCTTTTATACGGATATTGTTATCTTGAATATATGAGCCTTCCTATCAACTGAAATATATAAATAAATGTGCTTATGTATACTTTTAAATATTCTACATATTATTTGGTAATATTATTATTTAATTAATGAAATGAATGTACTTCGTTCAAATCAATATATTTAATATAAATACAACTCAGCAGATATTAATTTAGAGATAATGTAACGGTAATATTACCAGTATCGTGACCACTAATCCTACTGATATAATAAATGCGATAGTTCGTGAGGATGTATGTTACTATTTAACACGAAAACTACTAAACGGAATTTGATGAAACTTTGCAATGATGTAGCTAAGAAATGTAAATGAGATATAGGATATTATATATGACGAAATTCCGTGTAATTATTGCATGATAGTGGAGTGAAATAAGTAGGGTATAACCGATGCTAGTTAGTTACCATATCTTATTTCAAATAAACTATAAATTTGTCGCTTAATCTAATACTGAAATTCAGGCGGACGAAATCGCAGGCATAAACTATAGCCCTTAATAATAGACAGTCTGATTAATAAATAATAAATGTATACTTTTTTTTATAGCCAACATTTAAAATTTTAATTTTGCCTCAGAGTTGTATAATACAAGGTGTTTTGTACACACAGTGAATATTAGGAACAATTCTTATTTTTAGTCAAGTGTAGTAATACAATATTTAAATCGGTTCATCTCATATCTATGGAACATTTTGACTTTTTTTTTCTAGTTTTTTAATCTTAATATTAAGTCATAAATAAGGCAGACCCTGGCTAAAGCTGGGAAATTGCCAGGAAGAAGAAGAAGATTAAGACATAAATAATTCCAAATTTCTTGATCACTTCAATCAAGTGTCAAAACGTTTTGTTATAGGATATTCTAACGAAATCTGATATATTAAATGCAAGTAAAAAAATATATGCTAATAGTGTGAATTTGGAGAACTTTTAAAAGTAATTTTTAAAACTGGTGTACGTTTCCATGAATCTCTTTCAATATTGTAGATTTTAATCGTTATTCCATAATGCATATATTAACAATTTGGTTGTCATAAATTAATAATTTAAATACACATGAGAATTTATTTTTTTCCTTTAAATACATTACAGTAATATATTTAGAGTTATTTAGTGTTTATTTATTTTCATTCATATAGGCTGTATATTTAAACTAGTTTGCATCTTTCCACTGTATATAAAACTTTCATTTTTATCAATCATAAATCTTAGCATAGTATTAATGTAAGTTTATAAGTGAAAAACGTTTATTATTCTGTATTGAGTAAAAGTTTTGTTTATTTAGGTCATTAACTTATTAGAACACTTTTATGGATTTATTTCGTATATTTTTTTACACTGAAATATTTTACGCGGGAATTTCAATTATCCATTCATTTGTCAATGTACAAATGAGGTTTTTATCCATAAAAAATGAAAATTACCTTAACATTAAGTAAATTATTACTAATTATGTTAATATATTTATGTAGGCTATGTTAATGCATTTATTGATTGACTTAAATCAATTAGCAGGTATTTAAAATGTCGATTTATTTTTTCTATAACATTGGTATGGAGTGCGAGGTTTTGACATTGGCTAAATATTCCACAATAAAAAAAGATTTACTAATCATCAAGTAGGATATATGTGTATGTATATGCGTCCAAAATCTATAGATACAGTCGTAGGCATTCACTTGTACATAATAATTTGTTACAGATATGTATTCTAATATTTCAAGTGTTTAAACTTATTCGATATAAATAATTTCCAAATTAATTACTAAAATATTGTTAGTTTTATATACTTTTCTCTGATTTAGCAAAAAAATAATTTTATTACGCAATGAATATACAACATGTTTGTGGTAGCGGCTATCTTTAATTGTCGTAGGAATTAGGTCAGTTAACTAAAATCGTATAAAAATTTATATGAAAATCAATTCAAGTAATTTGTTTAATTATTGGAAGCATACTGGAATGATGTTTTACTAAAGGATACTAAAATATTAAACGAAAATTTTACAATATTAGCCTTACATTTTACTTGACTTATTACAAAAAATCTCGTTACTTACTTTTTGTTTTTCTCTGTGTCGATGTATAGGTAAAGCTATTCATTGCTATATTAACAGCGAAATAAAATTATAATTTATTATTTAGAATATATATTATGTTCTGAATTCCAGTGCTATTAGATGCGGGTGATTTTGTATAATTCTAACATTAATAAATGCAGGCGTTGATATTATTGGCGATAACTACTAAATTTGAATTAAAAAAGTAATATGCTAAATTTTTAAATAAATAATATTTATATATAAGTACGTCAACGATATATTAAAAAAAAAGTATAACATGACAAATAGTGATTTAAATTTTGTTGGAGGCCCAACTAAATTTCACTTCTACTGATAAACATAATTAACAGAAGGGATTAAAATAAAATATTAGGTACTTGACTGAGATATACTAAAATAATTATCGTAGCAATTAAAAGATTGTAATTAATGTTTAACCGTTACTTTTTTATTAATTTATTTAGTCTAACGTAACTATTGATTGAATCCCTAACAGATACATATATGGTGTAGTATTGTCAAATGTTACATACAAAACACTAAAGGTTCGCAAGCGATTAATTATCTGAATACCGGCTTTATCGGCTTCAATAATCCCTGGACTTTAATTGGTTTAAATTAGCGATTACTATAGTAGAGTAGTATGTCATTGTTGTACTTATTACATGCACTAAACAGTTATGAACTAACTTTAGTTAGATTTAGGATAAAAAAAGGCTACGAATTACAGTATTGAGTCAAAATCTGTACGTTGGTTCCTTAGTATTGATATTTATTTCTTTTTTGACTGTCCAAATATTTTTTATAACCATAAACATACAATTGATTTCATTGTTTTATACTTCAACTTAATATGTATGGTTTTATGACAATTATAAAAATTATTTAGTAATCTCATCAAATATGTAAATATAATGTTGTTTCCATATTGCATATCAAAGAAAATACTTTTGTGCAATGAAAAGAGGTTAAATTATCTCCTTTTATCTTATTTATTGCAACAACGCAATTAAAAATGGTGACATCTCGAGAACAAAGATTCTTTTAACTGGTTGAGATACGGAGTATAAATGTGACTATTGATAAAATTATTACTACAATAAGCCCATAGTTATTTAGAATTAATCACCATTAGTCATCTGAAATAAATTTATATACTAGCTACGTCCCTCGACTTCAGACGAGGGTAAACTAATAATACGTCTTCTTCTACCTGGCAATGTCCCAGTTTTGGTCAGGGTCTGCCTAAACTAGTAATACGTATAGTATAAAAATATATATAACTTTTTAGGGCTATCTAAGACTCATAACCATTGAACCATTGAACAAGCCTTTCTGTATGGTTAAAATTAAACATAGTTCAACAATTAAACTTATTAACGTAACTATATTAACATAAACTATTAGATAATAGATAAGATTGACGACAAACTTAAACAAAGATATCAATTTGTTTGAAATAGAGGTAAGTGACCCAATTCTCGTTGTGTAATGTGTGCTTATTTTTTTGGATTACAATATTTTCATTTAGAACAAGCAGTAATTATGTAAAACAGCAACACCCAGATATTCTTATTACAATCGCATTGACATACCTACAGATTTATGGCTTCATTCTGTTTAAGTACGTACCGGGTTCAGTTCTCTTAGACGTTGTCTTGGGAAAGGTGCTTGTGAAATGCATCATGGAAGAAGAGTTAGGCTATGATTATGAAGTAAATTGTGATTTATATAAGTGTCAATATGGTTTAAATTATTTTTCTATCACAAAGTATGAAATATCTCATTGTTTTCTAGGAATTTCCCGAATCATACTTCCTGTACTGGCCAAAGACAACAGAGGTAGTTTAAGTAGATTGGAAGCGTATACAGCTAATTTCGTTTATTAAGAATTTAAACAAATGAATTTTGTAAGTGCTGAGCTGTAGACGTTCTATGTCCGATATAAATTTTAAGGTGTACCAAAAAGAGGTTTTCCTTTCAAATTAAACCAGCTAATTGGGATTATTTCTTCCAGTCTCACGCAACAGCCAGCGCTGAAAGGCGGGAGCATCTTTACAAAATCTTGGTCATTGGGGAGCTTGGTACAGGGAAGACTTCAATAATCAAGCGATATGTACACCAGTTCTTCAGTCAACACTACCGCGCGACTATCGGAGTGGACTTCGCTCTCAAAGTACTTAATTGGGACGCGAATACTATAATTCGCTTGCAGCTATGGGATATAGCGGGTAAGAAAACAACGCATTGATATTATTTCCTCTTTACTAATATATAAATTAAAGTTAGTTTTATTATATGAATGTTCCGCAAAAGTTTGCTTATTTTTGTCAAATAAATACTTTTTGGTAAAAATAATTTGTTATAAAATATATAAGTTAGTTCTGTCACTGATATAGACCATATTATTATAGTGAATTTCCAAAATGGATCAAATGGATGATATGTCCCTAATGTTTTCTTGGATGTTCATGTCGTTGATGATAATTTATTTTCTTTTATTCATGTCATTACTGATCATGATTCCTCATTGAGTTTGTGTAACAGTATTCGGGTAAGTGAGACTTACTCAAAGTAAAACAACACTAGACTGATAAATTTGGTTAGCCATACTATTTAATGTTTACCCCTGGACATGCCCATGTCTTTAACAACGACCGAAAAAAATTTTAATGACTGGGTTCCTTTTTTATATTACCCGAGGGTCAAACGGGCAGACTGTCTACCTGACAGAAAGTAGTCACCTTTACCCATGGACATTGCAACAAAAGGGGTGTTGTAGATATTTAAAAGCAATTTATCTCAATAAAAACCTGTTTCTTTTAACAGGTCAAGAGCGTTTCGGCAACATGACCCGTGTGTACTACAAGGAGGCGGTTGGTGCGTTCATAGTTTTCGATGTATCTCGCGTAGCCACCTTCGACGCTGTGGTCAAGTGGAAGAACGATCTTGATACTAAGGTTCAACTTCCCGATGGATCACCCATACCGTGCATACTGCTGGCTAATAAGGTGAGAAACGACTAAGTCTTGTTCTAAATATTTAAGACATCCTCTATCTAAATACTAATAAAAGTTAAATATACTGCTAAAGATTAATCCTTTGTACGTACTGTCAAACTTCCAAGAAAGAAATTTCAAGCTTAATGAAGTTATTTATTGCACGAGTTTTTTAACCCTCACATATTTTCTACATGAGCGATGTATTTTGATACAAAAAATATGTTTGCTTGCATACTAATATAGCTTTAAAAAGGCACCTGTCATATAAAATACCTTTAACAATTTTAATCGACAATGTGGTAAAATAATAATTAGATTATTCTTACCACTAATAAATTAGGGTCATTTGTATGTTTTGAGTATTTTTATTATAAATTATGAAATTGTCCTTCAGTGCGATCAACAAAAGGAAGGTATAGTGAATTCACCCGGGAAAATGGAAGAGTATTGTCGGGAGAAAGGTTTCGCTGGCTGGTTTGAAACGTCAGCTAAAGAGAACATCAACATTGAAGAAGCCGCTCGCTCTTTAGTTAACAAGGTAAGAATATATATGGAATTTTATTTAAAGCTCCTCAATAATAAACTGTGTATCGATTTCTTGATTATATTTCTTGATCATATTTATCGGTCATTAAGTTGTCGAGATTAGATTAAAGGAGATCCTAGGACGTGTAACATCGTTAATCACATTGTATTGTACTATAAAACAAGTTAAGGTAATTAATGTATTTATTAAGATTTTATTCATACAAAATACACTATTACTTTTGTATGTTTTTTCTTGATACTCGATTATAAAGTCCATCGATGTTTCTCTCGTGTCGACTATAATTATTCATTTAAAGTTTTATACCAACACAATCCTCATTTCTTGTACACAATAGTCGTATTAGGGACGAGGTAATCGTGATCCTTTTATGTATCAATCGATGTTGTAAAAAGTTATTTATTCATTGTGAAATCGTTTTTAATTGTCTCTTAAGCAGAATTGAAGTGAAAAAAAAAAACATTAGTACGAGTATGTTTCAGAATAATCACCAAGCCTAGAATTCGTTTGAGTTTGCCTCGTATTATCAAAATTCAAATTTCTCATAAATATATAAATTAAATTGATTTTAATTCTCCCTTTGGTAAAACAAGCGAAATATATCTTATTTTAATTATTTCCGTATAATTTTATATAAATATTTGTATTTTGAGAATCCCGCCCCTCGATATTTTTTTCTTTGAACTATAAATACAGTCTTGAGTAAAATATTCGTTTTAGTTTTGCTAAGATCGCTAATAATTGCGTAACAAATATTGCCATCATACATTATAATATGTTTTACCTTTGACAGAGGAATAATATATTATAAATAAAATTATTTATATATTATATAATACATATATATTATATGTAGTTTACCTTGTAATGATAAAACATCAGTTGTCACGTCCACACCTTGTGATGTGCACGTTTTTATTAATGGAAGATCTATAGTATCTATCATAGATAAATAAATAAATAGCTTATTAAGAGTACGAAATAAAAAATACCTTTTGTGTATGAGAATATAATTTTTATTTTCAATAATTTTTGCCAATTTATGTGTATTAAAAGTATTTATAATCATTGCACAATAGTTTGAAAGAAGGATATTACATAGGATTTTATTGTAACATAAATAAAACTTAAAAAGTAGAAAACGCGTTTCTTATTTACTGTAATTGTTATACAAGTTGATACTGCAATTTTATTTTTATTTCATTCTTTCATATTCTTAGTTTGTTTTAAGACACTATTTTAATCTACGCTTGTTTCGGGGACACCAAAATTAATACAATATCACTTTTGCTTTGAACGTACTCGTTGCATCTTATTCAAGAACAATTTTCATTACAAAAGTAAACGTCATTGTCATAATATACATAATTTTATTAAAATTATACGTTGTACTTATTTTTCTGTGAAATGCATTCTGTTCGTTCTTGATTTCTATAAATAAATCGATTTTATATGTCACCGAAATCAAGTTTTTTGTTATTGTGTTGCGAAATCGAATTATTAAAATGGGTCGAGTTTAATTATAGTATGTGCAAAAATGCAGTCGCGATTTTAAAATTTTAATTGCAAACTTTCCAAAAATAAGAATAAAGCTATATAAAGAAGTTTAAATTTATAAAACTCGATTCTCACAAAGTTTATTTAAACTTATCATTTTAGTATAATCTTTGCGGGCTAAGAATCTTAGATATATATATATATATGTTCTATAATATATAGTAAATATGACCAAAGTTCAAATGTTCAGCAACTTGTGAAGTTATCACTAACATAAAGATGAATACAGTCTTTCTTTGACGATGCTAATTAGGCTCTATGACAAGCAACAATAAGATATTATACCAAACGTTGTAAGAACAAAAAACCTATGTATATGCTAGAAGAATATATTGTACCGTTTTAATATATTGTTTCTGTTAGTCTTAAACTTAGGTAAGGCTAGAAATTATTTAAAGACAGAAATTTATTTATCTTTAAACTTATATTTCCTTCATATAGTTTATATAAGGGTCTCTTATTTCACTTATCTTATCCTTCACCCTATATTTTAGGTTAATATTCTTGATCGTGAAATCCTTATAAAATACACAAGCGATTATATTCACAGACATTTTCGAAGGTTTTTTTATCATTATCAAAGAAAGTAGCAAGAGTTATATTTGAGACAGCTTTATAATTATCCAGAACAATCTATATAGAAAAATATAAAGCTTCTTATGTAAACCTTGGTGCATAATTGATATGATCGTTCTTAGAACTTACGTTTATTTTAAGGCAAAAAAAGTGTAGGTCGACATTTTTTAAACCAAGGTTAAGTCTGGTTTAATATAGTCCAATTTTAAGTATTGACATTGGCAAAATTGGGTATTGAGAAAGCAATATATAATAAGTTATATTTAATTATACAGTTCCCACATATACATAATGGTGTCCGTTTATTTAAGTAGCTGATCAAAACAAGTTACATCCGCCATTTGTAATATTATAATTACTGGAAACTTCTAGACGCTTGATGCGGTTGCTTCACAAGTAAAGGTCGTGATTTACATCAAAAGCTTTGGTAAATTTGTAATAATTTTGAACTATCTGGCCTACTCTACGGGGGGCCACAAGTAAATTATTGATATATATGTTTAAGAATTTTTTAATTAGTTATTAGAATCTGAATAATTTATAAACACAAATTCTACAAAGAGTTTCTATGAAAAAAAAAAAACTTTTTCGACTTGATAACAAACAATAAACAGATATATTCATGAATGGAATACAGTATGCTTTTAGGTTAATGACTTCTCTAATAAAAAAAAAGTTTATGGGGAAGAGAATTACTAATCTTTGATAAGAATAAACATAAAACTAGTTATATAATGGCTGCGTTGAGTTTGGGTCCGTGTGTAGTTTAATGGATCCATTGCATCGTTACTTCCCACGTCAATCTCTCATTTAATATAAATGAAAAACAAATATTTAATAATGAATTTTGAATATTAAATATACGAAATTTCAATTAAAAAGCATGTTTTTTGTATGAAATAATGTATTCTTACAACATATTAAAACATAATACCTTATTTAGTTTGCTTAGATGTTTTGTTATTAAGTAACATGAAGCAATAAAAAGCTACAGCTGTTTAAACAAAAAGTTCGACATTCACATCGTTCTATGATTGTCTATGGTATCTATAACGATGGGGGACTTTGTTGGTGTCCACCTTGAATCCATAAAAAAAAGTTTATTAGCCTATAAATTAAATGCCAGTGAAAATGTTCTATGTTTGGGAATTTAAGAGTCCACGCCTCGTTTGGAATGCGGTTTTTGGTTTTGACGTCAACGAATGTTCAGTTAATTTTATTCTTGTGTAATATTTTGTAATATTGTTTAGATGTTGAAGTCTCGTTAAGTTATTAATCTATTAGTTTGTGGCGAGGTTTTAGATATTTGTTGCGTAATAATAAATGAGGATCGTCAAAAAATTTTATGGTCTAATTACTCAACGAATATGTTTAGGATAGGTACTTTAAACAATTTTGGGTTCATTACAATATGTATATTAAAAACCGTGGTAATATTTGTATCATTGTAAGCTCTGATCTATGCTATAGTAAATATATATGTCTAAAAAAGGACGCCAAATCTTAATGTAATGCCACGGTATTTTATTAGTTTTTCGCTTTCATTTTCCTAGGACTAATCGTACGAATATATGTCAACATTTATATTTATTTAAAAACGAACCTATTAATATAATATACGTAATATTTTCTTCCAGATTCTTCTAAACGATAAGCTTCTACAGAGCAGCGATAAAGACGGCGAGCGTTTCGCTCTCGACCACAAGATAGCCAACGGTGAGAACAGCCGTGTATCTGGCAGCAGCAAGTCTTGCGCCTGCTGATTCACACACACGAACATTATATGATAGAGGAAATAAATTGTTATATAAATATATGGTGCGTAAGTGAATTATTTATTACAAATGCTAAGAAGTCTATCTCCGTACTAGCTGTGTTCTATGGACCAAAAGAAACTCTTCTCTTAATGTTTTCTCAAAACATTTACGTTCTGTTTCATTCTGTAACTTATAAAGTTTATTTTATACAGATGAAACTCTCAATCCTTTTGTTTCTTGATTTAAAATATTTATTAAAACAACACAAGTATATGTTTTGCAATTTGTTCTTTCCTTCGTTTTGTTTCATACTTGGCAATGTCTCGTCTAGATTTGTTGAGCCTTAGGGCTTGCTTTTTGCTGTTCTTATACAAATTTAAATTATTAGATTTATATATCAAAGTTTGCTCTATTTTATTATAAATATAAGCAGTCTCGGACTATACTCTTCTTATCCACAAATTGCACATTCCATGCGAATGTTATTAAGCTTTAAAATCATCAATGGCTTTTCAACTTGTAATCATTATAATAAATCTCTATAATAATTAAATATACATTAATTATGATGAATCGTGTGATGAAATGTAAATTTAAGTGCACGATTTCATCGTTAATTTTCTTTTAATTGCTTTTATAATATTAACTAAGTTCTAAAAAAGTACAAGATGTTATATTTTTTATGTTCCGATAACTATTAAGTTTATTTTTTGTGTATCGATGATGTTAGGCAGTTGGATATAGAGATAATAATATACTCTTAAACTATTTGATTGTAAAATCTTTTATACAGGTTAAAAGTGCCTCATTATGAATTTTGTATCACTGAAGTGAATTATTTTATAACGAATGTTTCTTCTGGAAGTGTTTTAATAATTCCATAACAAATATATGTTTATAGATTAATAATGTTCACTCGTTATTTTATTGTTAAGTATTAACTGTATGTGAGCGTGTGAAGTTGATGCAATAAAATGTTTTAAGATTGTTTTGGAGTTTTAATTCATTTTTTACCTACATCTTTTTATATAAAAATAAATATTATACATACTTTATTTTAATATAATATTCATCTAATTTGAATATAAGAATAATCGGAAATATAATAGAAGATATAAAATTATTTATGAACGAATTATCGTATATATATTGTAGATATTAAATTTCATGACTAATAAAAATATTATTATATATAAATTTATAGAGATGAATACAAATTAATTATTTCAGATCGTTATATTCATTATTGTTTATATATCATGACAGCCCACATGGATAGTAAATGCAAATGCTTCTTCGTGAGTCGATAATTCGTGTGTAGCAAGTAACATTTGCAATGAATTAAACAACAAATGAATAAAGGCTTTAGATAGATTAAGTTATATAACAATTAAAGTAATTTAGTAATCATTTTAAAGTTTTAATATAGTATAACCAAAGAAATCCTATACAAATGAATATTATAGTAAGATTAATCACGAAAGTTACAATTAGATCTATAATTTTTATGCTTTAAGTAGTTCTAAATAAGTATATATTTGTTAAGAGAATCTAAAGTTGTATAAAGGAATACCTACTGTAAAAATAATATAAATTTAATATAACATGTTACACAATATATAATTATGGTCACAGTTATTTCAATTAAGTCACTTCGTACTTATAACATTCATAATGTAAGTTGTTGTAATGTTATGCAATGTATATTTTAATTAATTTATCGTCAACAACAAAAAATATGTCCAATAAATACTATGTCACCTGCTATCATCAATTATTTTTTTATTTGAAGTTTTTTTTCAAGTTTTAACGAGTGTCACGATTGTCAAGACAAGCTTTATATTAAAAGATATATTGTGTAATAGAATTTTATGAATTCCTATGATTGCTAGGTCTCTGATCAATAATTTAAGGATATGTACATCATAATAAATGTAGGGATAATTGAACAGTTATTTTATCTGAGCGTAATTCAGACGGGTTTCAAAACTTGCGTGCTTAGTCCAAGTTAATCTTAATATTTTATCATTCAACGATCGTCACGTATTACTGTATATATTGAATGAGAAATATTCAGCGTTTGTAATGACAATGTAACGAAATAAACTTGGACTAATGATACAATATTGTATTCGTTTCTATTCATTTTTTATTCTCTGTAAAAAAAGTTGAATAAGAAATACTGCCTTTAATGTAATCATGTAAGAAAAACTGTTTGTTCTCTTAACAACTTAACTAATGAATCTTTTTGTTAATACTACATTAGTTTACCATATGGACTCAGGAAATACTATAGGTTTTAAATTCAGGAAATACTATAGGTATTAAATTCCTCATAAGATTTAAGGGTAAATTGTTTTTTATCAGACCACATCTTGTCTTTTTAGAAGTAGTTCTCAAAAGACAAAATTGATTATTGAAGATATAGACCTGTGTTTGTTACAGTAGAATGTGTTATTATTATGTATCAACCAATCATTCCCTCTTTATTAAAAAAATAGATTTATTTGGCGTTTAGTAAACTATCCTATTAGTAAGACAACCTTGTATATTTAGGAGTTATACTATATATTTCATGAGACGAAACTTCTAAGCAATTAATGTATTCACCGTGCGGGTGCCGGGACCGTCGCGTTGCAGGGAGAGGAGCTTCAGCAGTGCCTGGGACTTGCGACCCAAGTGTAGGTTTAAGGGGCTCCAATCTAATGCTCGCTATCCGTTCACCTCCACCGTCCAAGCTCCTCTCTACCTACCAGTATTAAACAATAAGTTTCGAACTACATAGTTAATGAATCATCATTAAAGTAATGTTTACTTGAATATAAACCGATACCTCCCACGTAAGATGTTGTATGCCCTCAAAATGCTATTTTGCTTTTGTTTTGAACAATATCCTATTAAGGATCATTATATTCATTTGAAGTAAAAAACAACGAAAACACTACTTTTAAAGTCTTGTAAAGGATTTGTCAGACTCATACCTAATGTTGTAAGTTTCAAATTTTGCACATTTTGGTTTAATTTGAATCTTTGAAACACTACTGTAAATTTACAGTTTTGGAGATACAACAACTTACGTGGTATCAAGACAGATAGTGATTAATTTTCGGTTGAGGCTAGCTGGCCCTAAGCCATAGGCCTTTCCTTGAAGTAAAGGTCATGTTATATTTTTGACATCACTTTTAAAATTCAATATTTAAGATTTAAATTCACTGCCCTCAACTTCCTAACTCACAAAATGGATGTCAGTCATAGTACAAATGTTTCGGATTTATTTTTCTCTATATAAGAATTTAAGCTTTATTTATGTTTCTATCATTCCTAGTACTTCTAATACTGACTTAATTATGTAATTGTCTTGTTTACATTAATATATATGATTGACAGATCTTGTTTGCAAATGTTATGACACTAACAAGAAAATTTTTTTGATTGTGCTAATGACCATTCAGTGCATTTTTATAACTCCAGAATCAAAAAAATCTATGTAAAATTAAGAGATTTATCTTAAGTTAATAAAGTAAAATGATATATTGTAAGTAGGTAAGATGTATTCTGTTTTAATAGCTGAATTATTTGCTCGTGCAAATGTCAAGGAGGCATGGTATCGTCTCGTCGCACAAAACACATAATAGTACATTCTCGTTAAAATGTTGCACCTGATAAGTATATACAAATTTATTTTGAGGAGATGTTTATCTCGTCTTATCTTCAAAACCAACAACTCCTTATTTGATGAATTCCGTGTCTGATGCTTTCACAATCACTGTTGTTTTAGTCAATTAAGTCACTTGGAACAGTGAAGTATGATAATAATTTCATTTATATTGTTCTTTAATTGATTCTTAATATTTTATTGTTTTCAAAATGGAATCCGAGGTAAGAATTTTTTATTGTCATTAAAACTCAGGTTGCACGTCTTCTTTGCAGTTTTACTTATATGAATAAATATAATTTAACATTTGATATGTTTTAAATAGTTATCTTAAAGTTATTCTTATCAAACAGTCTTTTATTTTACAATCTCCATCTAACTTTTCATATAGAATCTTAGCAAGTTAAAAGAAAATATTTTGGCAAACAATTTTTAACAATATCTTAAATATTTTCTTCACTCCCCTCACACGTTTTTTCTATCCACCTATCTACAATAAAAAACGGTCTTTTGTTAAGTATAGTCTCCATTACATCAACCACAAAGTTATCTATTTCATCATCAACAATTTGTTTAAATACATTTTGCGGTATAATTATCGTTTAGGCTGTTAGATAAAAAGTTGTTTATAATAAAAAAAGACTTTTTATGTATTTTTTCTTACATTGTAATTGTGTAAATGTTTTATTTGTAAATATTTTATAGTTTATGTGTTTGATAATGTTTACAATATGTTTTGCATGCTTTGTTATACTAAGAATTCTATTTTTTCGCAACTAACTTCAAGAAAATAGAACTTATTTAATAACTTATAACATTTTTATTATTAATAGATTTTAATTTTTCTAAATTAAAAAGGGTTTATAGTCTCAATGCTTCAATTTAAACTTCTTTAAGATAAATTGAAAATTGTCGAACAAAATCAAGTTCAGAACAAGTAGACAATGCAATTATTATAATTTTGTTTAATAAGAAATATTTGTATTTCCGATTTCAGTCGATTAAATCAACTACCAGAAGGAACGTGTTCATAGCAGTAGATAAACTAAAAGTGTGGACGCCTGAAAAAAAATCTTGGTGGAGAAAAAGCCAATTGAAAGCGAAGCTATTATTCTTAACAATGGTAAGACATATTACTTAACTATAAGACTGGGTTTACATTATTACACGTTATCATAACTTTATATTTTTTATTTTATTATATCTAATGAAGACACAGCCTTATTGTTAGAGGATAGTAATCATCAGCGTTAAAAGTAGCCGGAGGGAGGTGATTTAATTCTGTTCCGACTCACGGCCTGCGACCCAAAAAAAAAAAACATGGAATGTTTTTAATATTTAAATAATCATTGTCTTAGCTCTGCTTTATAAACATTTGAGATTTTTTTTGTATCTCATAATAAAAGTTATAAATTGTTGAATCATTATTTTCATTGGCTTGTTTATATTAAATACTCGTCGCTTTGTTATTCAAAATTAGTTTGTTCAGTCTAAACAGGAGTGCATATATGTATTTATTTTAGATATACAAAAATATATAAACTTTTGTCAATCTTTCTTTAGTTTTTTCCTCGACGATTTTTAGTTCAAAAACTTTATGTTTATAGAATTTTTCCTCAATATTCAAAAATGGTATAAAAACAACATAAAGAAATATTTTTCTCTTCTAATTCAAAAAAAACATGAATGAGTGTAAAATAAGGAATAATATAAACCAAAATATCGATGTTTAAAAGTTTATTAGTATACCATAGCTTGAAAATAATTCGCTGTCAGAAGCTAATCTTAAATACAATACATAAATTTTTGTATCTTATTATTTTCTTTACCTATATACTCCTTAGTTACAAATTGTAATAAAAAATAATATCGAGTTTTAAGTTTCAGTACAAATAAAGTCTGGAGAATTTGTCGCTGTCATAGGACCTAGGTAAGAGAAATATAGCACTTTCAGTTTTTTATGTGTTTTAGATTTTAATATTAATAATTGATACTTAAAAATGTCAAGTTATAAACTGATTGGTCATAAAATAAATACATGTGTGTAGGATCAGTTCTATTGAATAATGGTTTGAATAATTTTTTGCACTCTTTAGAGGGTTGGATGGTTTTCATTATTTATGGACTTAGTATCATCACTATGTAATGTATGCTAGGGAGTCAATTCTTTTGGAAAGAGTTGCAATAGGGATTGCGAAGTACCGTATGAACCTTTTGATGAGTCGCATATCATACAAGAGTCTACTCATTTCTTGACATGATGTGATATATTTTATAATCAATGAAGCTCATAGATCTTATTGAGAATGTTTTCATACCCCAAGGCTTTCTTGTGCTTTATTGGGAAATCGATTTATCTGTAATTTCATTTGACCCAAGGGGTAAGTCAGAGGCGTTTGTGGAGTAGGCCCGGAACTAAACTCTAAATGACAACGGTAAGCCTAGTTGCTTCCAAAACCTCTCTTGCCCGGACTCTGCCAACTAGATAAGGAAGTGGCGAACAAATTCCTTCCTACACCTACCTGGTCTCTCCCAACGGAGTAAGTCAGCAGAGGAGGCAGACTCCCTTCTTTGGTGCCTTCTTTCTAGCAATGAGTTCCTCGCCCAACGAGGCCAAGACAGCCCAAACGGTTTCGCTTTCAACCATCTTTGGTATGACGCCTTGCAGAGCAACCCTTCTACATAGTAAGCACGACACACAGTCCTTGAGAGATGTGCTAATCTATCATGTACAGCTTTTTATAGCATTCAATGGTGATATTAAACTAGTCGTCATACTCATTGATCCGGGTTTCATTTAATTTAAGACGTAATTTTTATTATTGTAGTATATTTTCCTGTCACAACAACAACCGAATTTATATATTGTAGTGGTGCGGGCAAAACTACATTCTTGGTATCATTGGCGGGTAAATGTAACCTGCCTAGCACTGGCACCGTCACAGTATGCGGCAGAGATGTCAAAGATTTGTCACAAGGCGTGGTTGAAGTATTGCCGCAGTTTGATGTCTTCATGGATAGTCTAAGTGTTAAGGAGCATTTGATATTTATGGTACGTAAATAGAAATATAGACGAAAAAAGTATAGATAACATTATCTTTAATTGTGAAATTGTCATCATTCCTTGTAAAATATGTTTTAGATAGAAATGAAATTAGGAAGCACAAAGAAATTCAAAAACAAAAACATTCTCAAAACGTTACTGCATGAACTAAATTTGGAGCCTTTGGAGAATTCTTCTATCAGGTCGCTGTCTGGAGGAGAACGAAGGTTACTGTCTTTGGGTACCTCGGTATGATGGGATTTCATGTCTTCAGATACTTTACACCTATCATTGAAAGTTAAGAACTTGTCGAACCAGTCGTTAAGAACTTAGAGAAATAATAAATAAGATTGTTGAAGAACTTGTCGTTAAGAACTTAGAGAAATAATAAATAAGTAAACGATCATGATGTCCTAATATTAACAAAATTTCTTCCCTTCATTCAAGAGTTAATGTACCATACAAGTTCATCATTTCAGTTGATCTCCAGCCCGCAAATTCTCATCTGTGATGAACCAACAACGGGTCTGGACAGTTACAATGCTGCCCTAGTTATAGGAGTTCTTAAGAAGTTGTCACTCTATGGCAAAACTGTCATATGCTCCGTACACCAACCATCGTCAGATTTGTTCAGAGAATTCAATTCCGTTGCTTTAATGTCTGAAGGAAAAATGCTGTTCCATGGGACGAGGAATGAAATCAAATCTGTATTTGAAAGGTAAATATTTATATATGTATGATGGGAATATCATAACCATAACATTAAGTAAACGTTAATTGTTAAAGACAAAATCTATTAAAATTAAAAAAAACCTTACGAAAACAGTTCTGCTAAAATTTGCTTGCACCAGAAATTTCATATTTATTGTCAATATTTTTATTATTTATTTGGACGTGTATAATAATAATTTGTTAAGAAATAGACTTTAATATCTTATAAAACATTATCTGGAATCTGAAAATGAAAAATACATCGTTACACTCTGAAACGTTATACTTTTGTTCTAACTTAATTTGTGATGATTTATGTACATTTTTTATTTTATAACCAAAATATGTGTTTAATGAATAAATAAAAATATATAATTATAATAGCGTCAGAAATATTACTATATAATTTATGTATAATGTTCGGATTTGATAACATTAAGTTTTTTTTTTCAGATTAAATCTCAAGTGTCCCGTCAATTATAATCCGTCAGAGTTTTACATAAAAGTTGTCTGTACGGATTCGTTCAAAAACATCTCAGAACTAGTTGTAGATAGGACTGAGAACGACGGATACTATGAAGGCAATGATACTACTCCCATGATATCAGCGCAAGTCGAAATGTACGTTTAAATACTACTAAAATAAATTTCTAAACTTAATTTCAGTTATAAACCTCGTTAAATACAACAGTTAAATTATTAACCTAAACTCGGTAACCGGATTTTTAATGAATCAGTACACGTTCTTCTCAAAATATGTATATCTCAATGCGTCATACTCAAATTTCGTTTGGCTTCACTTAAAGGGTCGTCAAACTGTTGACAAGTAACTTTTTTAATACTAACAAAAAATTATCGCAAAGGTCGTTGATTTCTAATATGGAACTTTTTAAAACAGTTGTCATAGTTTTTTAATGCGTGTATCAAAATTATTTTAATATGCAAATTTTGGCAATGGAAAAAATAGAATACTTTTACGAGATTTATAAATAGATATTTATATTTAGAATGTAAAATGATACTGACAAACTGGAATGGCCTTATAACTGTCAGTCAACATTTAATATTATTTATACTTCTCACATTTAAGTTTGATCTAAATAGATAAGCCTTAAATTAACAGCAATATATTAAATAGCTATTTCCTAGTCAGATTTTTAACAAACATTTTGCTTAAATGATTAATGATGACAAAGAACGACAATACAAATGATCTTCGTCGGACATGAAGGATTAGTATATTTTTTGTTTATACAAACTCGTATATTTCTTTACATACCAATTAATTAAATTTTCCATATAAAGTCTCTTCAAACCTAAGCTTTGTCGAACTTTGTCGTATAATATAAATCACTAATAATAAACTTAAATGTGCTAGAAATAATATCTTAAATCATGAGTTATATATGTATTTAGATGTCAAAGGAATTGGTTCGTCCAAGTCTACCTTTTGTTATGGCGATCAACATTGACTTTGAAGAAGGGTATCAAAGAATACATCGTCCAGATTCTGATAACTACGGTGAGTTTTCTAAGACTATTGTAGGCTAATTTTAATGTTATATCATTACATTACGTATGAAATGTTTCCCGTTTTTCATAAATAATCTACGATAACACCAAAGTGTACGGTATTCATTGATAAAAAATGTAACGCATCTTGTGTAGTGCAAAGATGTAGGTACATTATATATACCTATATATGTATGTAAAATAAGTATACTGTTTATGTTCAAACTAATATTTTCGTGGACTTTTGTCATCACTATTTAAAATATTATACAAAATCTTATTCAAATGTGATATGTGTTGTACATAAATATTATTACTTAAAGACTAATATACAATATTATTTTAAAATAGAGGGAATTAGTAAAACAGGAATACTATTCATCCTACACTCTAATATACTTATTTCAAATATATGTATAGTGTCTTAACTTCTTCTACCTGGCAAGTTCCCGGTCTTAGCTACTGTACGTATATTCTCTAATATAAATTCTAAATATTTTTTTTACCTTAATTTTTTTTTATTTAATAATTTTGATTATTAATTTTGTTTAAACTTTATGCTATTATTAATAAATTAATTATAAAAATATAAAATTAATATTCCTATCTCGATTTAAGATAATGATCTCGATAAAGTAATTATCTATTTTCTCATGAGCGGAAATTCTATTTATAGAATTTGTCGGCTTTTAAATTAGTAAAGGTTAAAAAAAACAGTAAAGAGTTATTATATGTAACAAGAATAATTGTGATTAAGAAATTCATGGCCATTTTTTCTTATTTGCACCCGTAACGAAAGACATAACTTTTATCTAGATTTATGTCAATTTTAATAAGTACTATTTATAATTTTGTTGCACTGTCAATTTGTAAGTTATTCTGCATGTGAACTATAGTAGTTAATTGTTTTTAAATTTATTTAAATAGTGGTAATGAAAATCGCGGTAATAAAAAATGTGAATGATAAAATTATATATTTAGAAAGTTTTTTGTATATATTTTGAACATTTTTAATAGCCAAGATAAGAAACAATAAATCATGACTCCGTAGATAGATAGTCGTAAAAGGAATAACTGGTCTATTTTTACTTCACATTTGAACTTCTGAATTCGATTTAGGTATTTAAAGAAGTAATTAAAAATTATATCAAAATTTGTTACTAAACACTCCATTAGTTTTAAAGATTTTAAAGATTATTTTAATTTGTTATGTGTTCTTGAAATACTGTTTATAAAAATAGCAATTTTCTCTTTTACGAATTTCAGAATGGTTCCATTTGAAAAAAAATCTTATAGTTTATGTAACAACATTAAAAAAGAAAGTTTATGAAATAGTACCCTTAATTCTTTTAATTTTCTTAAATTAAAAATATCTATAAATATTTTCTTGTTTTTTTTGTTTTAATAATACGTTATTTTCGTCCTGATTTTGAAATTTTAAATATATTTTATAAAATAAAAACTGATTGGGATTGATAACATTTGATAAGTCTATTCAAATTTATGTAAAACGTTTTATTTTTAGGTAATATCTTCGATGATATTGGGTACGTGTTACATCGGTATATCTGGGACGACCCAGCAAGGAGTCCAGGACCTTAGAGGTTTTTTATGGCTGGTCTGTTCTGAAGTATCCTTCAGTGTATCATACTGCGCTCTGTACGCCTTCCAGAATGATCTAACTCTTATTAAGAGAGAGGCGGGAATTTATAGGGTGTCCGCTTTCTACGTCAGCAGATTACTGAGCACGGTGAGTTTGAAGGCAATGAAACTTTTATTTTTATTTCTGGCAATAGATTTTAATAGTAATATAATTTTTAGTTACCCCGATGCATCATCTGGCCAGTTCTGTACGTGGTGCTGGCGACACTGGCTGTAGAGTTGCCAAATCATTTTCTGACTGCAACTAAATTTGTACTCGTACTTATCGTGACTGCCATTGCTTCTTCAGCCTATGGTTGGTTAAATGATTGCATTCATTTCACATTTTAAACTTGTTATATAAACTAATGTTATATGAAAAGTACAAAATCTTAAAAATTACCACGTATATATTTATGATGAAATAGCTTTCCGCCCGCAGCTTTTCCCGCGTGGAGTTCGGTTATATCGCTTTTTCCAAGAGAACCTTTCAAAAATCTGGGATACAAACTATCCTATGTTCTTTCTCAAGGTCAACTCTATCTCTGTACCAAATTTCATTAAAATCAGTTCAGTGGTTTAGACGTGAAGGCGTAACAGACAGACAGACAGAGTTACTTTCGCATTTATAATTTTAGTAGGGATTAGAGCAACAATGTATAAACCCCTTTATCTCCTATTCCAGGTTTGAGTATGGGCGCCCTTTTTACGTCTTCTGGTATAATGGGGGACGTGATGCCGTGTGTAGATCTGCCTTTATTTCTCATGTCTGGAGCTTTCCTCAGAATATCATCACTACCTTATTGGCTGTATCCTCTTAAATATATCTCTCATTTTTACTACGGTATGGACGCTATAAGCAATATATATTGGAGGCAGATTGATACTATAGGTACGTAAACTTTTAAGATATTTAAATATTATTATAAATCCTTTTTTTTACAAACTCATTGTTTTATATTTATTTCTCTTTTTATTTCATAATTTTGATGATCTTATCGGAAACAATTACATGATCGAAACGAGTTTTTTTCAGTTGATCAGCTAATTGAAATAACATGTAAATAAAATTATTGAATCGTGGGAGAGAACTTATATTATTATCTTAATGTGATAAATGCCACATCTAAATATCATAACACTATATTTAATATTAATATGCTATATCTTAATTATTGTTTTATATATTTTTATTAGGTTTTTTTAATACATTTTGACTATCATTATCGATCTTTTTGAAACAAAAGCAACAATAATTTTTGTATTAATTTCTCAATGAAATCAGACGGAAACAATTAGTCTTTCTCATTTAAAAATAATTCAAATTTAATGATCGGATCCCTATATTAACAATATGATTATCAAAAATATTAAGTTGTGCACACACTGTTGTGTAACTCCAATACTAACTTCCTTTCCTTTCTTTTTTAAAATTAATTATTTGTTGCTTCATATAGAAATTACTTGCATTATACTACTGTACATATTTGTAATATTAATAAAGGGAATGTGAACCTTTTACAGAATGTCCTCTAAATTCGACAACAACTTGCTTAAGAAGTGGAGCTGCGGTTTTAATGGAAAACGGATATTCAAGTGATTTTGTATTGCAAGATACTTTAGGTATAACTCTTATAATTCTACTGTGGAGTTTGTTGGGGTTATTCGGTTTGAAACGAGAAGAAAGTAAAGGTTATGCTTATTAATTTCATAGATCCCAATTATAGGATATTATATTATTGTTTAATTGAATTATAAAAAACAATTTGAGAGTCAGTGACTATCATATAACGTCAATTTCATTCCGCTTTATAGCACGTAACTTAAACCTTCGTAGCATTTATTTAAACTTTGTTTTAATAGATAAACGCCAACAGACAAAAAATATTCACATCGTTACAAAACAGGTTTGAGAAACGAAATTCAGATTTAAGTTTTTTTGATAGCGGATTAGAATCCGGTATTTCACATGCCGGCAGAGATTTGTTTAAACAAAAAGATAACTCTACAATATGTAACTACTAGTTTGGATTAAGATTTAGAACGAAAGAGAGGCTCTTATATTAGATATAACAATTATATTATGTATTACGGTTTTTTAATACATATAAGTAGAAAATATATACATAGTTTCAATATATACAGAGTAATAGTAAGTCAGTGATGGCCTAGTGATCCGCCCGCCTCAGACCCTGGCTAAAGCTGGGAAATTGCCAGGAAGAAGAAAAAGACACAGAGTAGTAGTAATGTTTGTCTTTCATACAAATATATTTAAATTTTCTTACAACCCTGATTTATATAATCATTGTTTTTTATATGACTTAAATATAATCAGGTTTTTAGGAAAGTCATGTTTAATTAATGAGATATAGACGTAGATAATCTTATCTGAAGCAAAACCAGACTGAATTAAAATAATATAAAAATAAATATACATGTGAATATTAATTTATTGCTATACAAAACACGGATTTAATACAGAAAATAACTTTTTATTTATTTTTATAAAATAATATATGTATATACATTTATAGAGAACACTTGTAGTTTGATAACAAGTTTTAATAATTTTACTTCAATGTTGATGTCCAATTTTTCATTACCCCTGCTATCAACATTCCACATTTATCTATGTAATAAAAAAAATAAAAAGCCATCAAGAGGTTAAACAAAACATACAAAGAAAAAGGCCAAATTAGGGTTCCATATCACTCAAGTTGTAGAAAGGAAGTAGATAATGTTTCATTATGATTGTTATATTAAAATAAAAACTAAAAGAATAATAAATGTATATTTTTTTATTAAAATCATATACAAATTTTAATCTTTTGTCCTTCAATCATAAAACAACTTATTTTCGTAAGTATTACTGTCATGGACAATTAATATTAATAAGATTATTTTACTTATAATATTTTTTATAACTATATTTAGAATATTCACATTTTACTATTAAATATCGCTGTTTTCGACCTTGAAATTACTTTCCGATATCAAGAGAAACTTGTCCATAATTCCACTGGAAGTTGGCCGTCATCAAATTTCAATTAACATGTAACTCACAAAGTGAATAACATCAATCATAAAGACAAGAAATAAAATAAAAACGAAACAACTTAACCAATTGAACCAATCATTATTGAATTAGAATTAATGTTAGTAAATTTAAAAATAAATAAAAGAAGCTCTGCTTCTATCACTTCGTAAGTAATGCTTTGGAAGTATCTTTGTATGTAGATTTAAATGTTATAAGCTCACTTTTAAATAAAGACGATTTAATCTCTTTCGAGACGACCAAATTAATGATACCTTAGTACTTATTCTTACTTTTATACCGTAGTTATGCAGCACGAATAAAATTCTTAGTCAGAATCTTTTAGTCGCTAGTCTAAAAATAAAACATTATTTAATAGAAGATAATCTTAATCGCTACAATTTATTTATACTAACAAATTAGCTCAGATCATATTTGCATACGTTATTATCGTGGGAACACAAAATCTGTTAGTCATATTTAAACATGTTCCACCTATTTTACCTATTTTAAATATTTAATATTCTCTCATATTAAGAATATTCGAGTATAAGTTTTTTTTTACAGTAACACCAACTTTATTAATAGACTGACGCTGGAAAACAACTGGGGTACCAACCTCATAAAGATTAAGAAACTTAAATCAAAGAAAGTAGGAAACAAATTAAATAAAATCACATATATTTAAGTTTCGGTCATGTCAAATATTGATTAACGTGTAACCTGGTTGCGAACTACGAATTGATTAAAATAAAAAAAATAACCAAATAAAATACTTTTACCAATTATTTTAAAGGTAAATAAAGATCATAATTTTACATAAAAATAAGTTATAAAAACTAAAACTTTATCTGCAAATATGAAGTAGATTTAATGTCTGAAATGTCGAAGATAATTTATGATGGTCTATCAAACACACCAGGAGGCCAACACTTTGAAGCTAACATAACAAACTCTTTAAGATACAAATTAGGTTTCAACTTTATTTGGTTCTAATTTTTAAATAGCATTAATACCGTTACCGATAGAAAATAATATATATTAATTCAATTATTTTTAAAGCCTCAAAAGATCGTTAGATGATACTGATATATTTAGGGGAAGTTACATAGTAACAATTTTAAAATAGCGTTTTTCGTTATTCAATCCATAACCTTAATTAATAATGCAATGTGCGAAGATTCATACATGAAAAACTCTTAACCATTAGACAAGACGAAGAATAACAAGACTATACAAATTAGGAGTAAGCATACTGAATAATTATAGGTTATTAGTTATACAGCAGCCTTAGCCACAAGTTAATTTTGTCATAATTTATGTAGTGTATTTCGACTCAGAAAAGAAAAAAGTCTTCATACAAGCTCCTGCCCACTCATACGACCGACGCAAACACACTTTTAATAAACGTCACTTGTCAATGTCACAAATCCTCTGATTTTGCAACAGATATTTTTTTGCAGCTCTAATTATCGATCAGATTTATTATAAGATAAGCAACGAAAATAGATTTATATAGACTTATTAATTATTCATTAAATAGACATTAAAATAACTCAATGTTTATTGGGGCTTTAAAAATTTTATCAGTCCAACACCGAGAATTTTCAAACGCCCTTGATTTAACTATTAGTACAAAAACATCATTAAATGAGCATAATGACAAAAAACACCTCATTATTGTTGATTGATTAAGAAAATGAAATAACCACAACAAAAATGTGGACAGTAAGGACTACTTTTACTTTTTGGAGTAAAAGTTATCAAAAACCGTAAACAAGTAATGTGGAAATAAGTAATGATATTGTAAAGTAAAACTGGTTTGTATACGAGAGAAGAGAGTAATAAAATCGTTTACTCCAATTTCAAAAGCAGCATGTTTGCATGAAGCTTTTAAAAATACATACTTTAATTAGGTACAATCTTTCTTATCTCCTTAGAATATTCTTGCAAATGTATCGGAGTCATTTATGCACAGATATTAGTACATATAACGAATAAGAATTTCAGGATAGATTTTTTTATCTCTATTTTTACTTAAAGACTTGTTTATTAAAAAAACTTTATTTATGTAGGTATATATTTAAGAAATAACGAAATCACATACATATGTATATTAAGCATAATATATATTTAATATATAAAAAACTAATTAGGCAAAGTACCTATAAAACATTTTTATATCAACTTTATTTATTTCGTAACAGTTTATAACTGTGGTGTTGCTAGCACGATTAATATAAATTATTCAAATTCTTCTCTAATACTTCATTTACATTCAAATATATGTATAAAATGTTATTAATGAAAGACAGTAATGTGTAAAAGATGGTTTATTTTTACAAAAACTATTGGAAAACAGAACTTATCTTATAAACTAATCTATAACCAAAATGCTATAAATAAACTGACAGGTGAAGACAAAGAAAAAATACACACAAAAGAAAAACGTTCTGATTGACAAGAAATACGATACACCTTTTATAACGTGCATCCATATTAATCATCCCGACAAGCACTATCAAGAAGTCATATAACACTGACTTCTCTTAACAAAATGTCAACCTTTCTAGTGATGTACTTATATGTAGTATGAACACAATTGTTTTTCGTATTCCAGTCTGATTTAGTTATAATCTCAATAGACTGGAGTTCCTCTACTCCGCTTGACAACCATCAGGAATGATATGAAATGTGCTATAAAGTACATTGACGTCAGACAGATGCAGTTCCTCCAGAAATGATCTTCAGAAAAGCCGTAACGCCTCAATACGTCCGGGCCGGTCTTGATGCAGGGCATTCCCTTGATATTAACGCAGTTTATAGACTCTATTGAGTCCCATTGAACGATAGATATAGCTTCCACGCCGTAATAGAAAGCAGATATGTATCTCAACCAGGATATATAAGGAGAGGCGCTTCCAAGATTCAAATAAATACCAGAGAACATAGTCCCAACTAACTCAAAAGGAACAGACACCAGCGCAGCGGTTTCCATCTTGTCGAAAACAGACGACAAAAAGGAACCTAGAAATGAAATGTCAATTAAATGTTTTAATTTGAATTAATTATACTAAATGTACGTGCTAGGTGAATTAATACAGAAATGGAAATGTCATGTTTTATCGAATCGTTGAAGCGTGAATTTAATAAGAAACGTTTAAATATAATAGTTATCAATGAATGAATCAATCACGATTATTTGTTTACAGTTTTGCTTTCACAATGTATATTTTAGTTACCGTAAGCATTAGCGTAGTTTGCACATAGGACGCATATAAAACTGATTCCCAGCCAGTTGTAGAATCCTCCCTGAAGACCGGCTACAGTGAAAACCAGAGTCGCGAACAGAATCGGCTCTATGACGGCCCGGGGGATCTACACGGGAACCATACAATGATACATATATACACACACATATATAATAGTTCAGAAACCTATAGATTACAAGCTATACTTGTTGAAGATACGTATATAATACAATGTGCCCGTAGAAAATAAAAAAGTATAGATGAATAACAAAAGCGGTATTATTCTTCAAAGACGTCTAATAGTACAGAGATGTAATGAAGTCTTTGATTTTTGTGAAAAATACTCACATACTTTTATAGTCTTTATAGTAAAACAATGTAATTCTGAATAAGTAAAGATCTCTTAAAGCAGATCATAATTTAATACATCTGTTCAGACGAAATTCTCGTATGCATGTATATTGTGTATATTGAATAATAATAAAAATGTTCCCATAACTTGAACAGACATAAATTTTGTTTATAGACGATTTGCATTCCAAAGTATATCTATTTTGGTAAATAGAATCATTTTAGTAAAGTTTCCATCACAATCTATAAATGGAATACCGGATCCATATCACATATATTCAGAATTGCACTCACAACATTTCTATGAATAGTTTATCACTTAATTATTTTTTAATACAAATGACAAAATATTTAAATTATTCAGACTGTTTTCTAATGGATATATGATTCTTTTCTAATTGTTCTTCATATCAATAAATGATCGTTAAAAACCACAAAAGAAACTTGATACTTTATTTTCCCGCAGATAAGAGATCGTTAAAAACATTTTACAACTTATAAGGAACTAGCTTTCCGCCTCCAGTTTCGCCCGCGTGGAGTTCGGTTATATCGCGTTTCCAAGAGAACCTTTCAAAAGTTTGGGTTAAAAACTATCCTATGTTCTTTCTCAAGGTCAACTCCATCTCAGTACCAAATTTCATTAAAATCAGTTCAGTGGCTTAGGCGTGAAAGTGTGACAGACAGACAGACAGAGTTACTTTCGCATTTATAATATTAGTAGGGATACTTTAGGTATTTCTTATTTATGCAGTCTCAATGGCTTCAGTTGAATTATAAAATATATGAAACAATAAATCAATTAAAGAATAAATACATACATTTTAATAATTTTTACGATACTATTAATAGTGATTAAAAATTTCACAGCCAGTAATAAAAAATTCATTGTCTATGGTCATTTTATAAAACTTGATTTGTTCCATTTATTTCTTTCTAATTGCACTAATAAAACGCTTGATAATTAAAATGTTTTAAATATATTAATATAGATTTAAGTGAAAAGGATTATATTTATATTTTCTTATTTTACTATATGTTTGATTTCGTTAATTATTTCTTTATAACTCATTAAAAATTAAGGACCTTCAGTTGGAAACAAATAATAAAACACGAAGAATTCCTAAAAGCGAGATAGAGCTAGGACGCGAAAGAGATAGAACACAACCGGAAAGGGTCCAACTGTAGCGACATAAAAAGGTTCAAATTAACCATACCGTTCTTTTAACTCAAAATACAAGTCGTGGGACGGTTTTTGATGTCATTTATAACTGGTTTGATATTGTGACTTTTCTGGAAATCAAGCGTTCAGAGTACTCGTCAACACGTGTTACTCTCATTTGAAAATTAATGCATTTTTGTCTGAGAACCGATTGAATGCATGATATTTCGACAACCTTTCTTGATTTTAATATAGTTTATTAAAAAATATTGATTTCCAATCGATTTTTATTCAGAAATAAGCTCAAAAAGGAATAATTTGTACTTGTTTATTTATGTACGTTTAAAAATTATAATACGTATATTTCACATTTAATTGACCTGCAATTAGGATTGACTACAAATTTTAAGCGCGATAGCTTTCAAATGATATAAATGGGCATATATCTTCTATATATATAAATATGGATTGCTGTTCCTTAGTCTCGCTAAAACTCGAGAACGGCTGAACCGATTTGGCTAATTTTAGTCTTGAAATACTCGTGGAAGTCCAGGGAAGGTTTAAAAGGTGAGAAAAATTGGAATAATTGCCGGGAAAACCCTAAAAACAGCCCTTTTCTATTTCTCATACAAACGTTTTTTTTGACATTAGATTTGACAACTAACTAATATGTCAATCATTCTGTTTGATTGAAACAGGAAAAACCTGATTATTTATGGCCTCTAAGACGGAATAGAGTTCGCCTGGTCAGCTATACCTACATATATTACTCTTGACCAAACTAACGCGGACGAAGTCGCGGGCAAAAACTAGTTTATAATTAAAAAAAAGTATAAACTCACCCAAAATATCATTTTCGATAAATAGTAAGGCAGTGGTGAATATAGGCCGCTTGCTGTCTCTCGCAGTAAAATCGGTACTTCGCTAGGGAATGTTATGAAGACAGCATAGATGAAGAGGAAGGTCGTCTCCGTGATGACCAGATATAATAGACCCTCAGCGTTTTGAATATCTCGTTGGTCCAGTTCAGAGAAGTGACCGGCGTACGGGATCGATATTATAAGACCTACGAACTAAATACTCGAGCATGAGATATAGTGATGAAAATATGAAGAGATTTTTACAGAGACACTATTGATGATGATGAATTAATGATTTTTGAATAATCGTCAGCATTTGAGATGTAGATGATAAGAATATTGAGACATTTGTTAGGGTGATACTAAGAAACATAATGATGAATGATGGTGTGGATTGGTGATGAAGCTATTAAGAAATTTGTAACAGAGACACTATCGATGATGATGATGATGAATAAATGATTTATGTATAATTGCCGCGGTTATGAGATGTAGATGATAAGAATATTGAGACATTTGTTTCGGAGACATTAAGAAACATAATGATGAATGATGGTGTGGATTGGTGATGAAGCTATTAAGAAATTTGTAACACAGACACTGTCGATGATGATGATGATGATGATGATGAATAAATTATTTATGTATAATTGCGGCAGTTATGAGATGTAGAAGATAAGAATATTAAGGCATTTGTTTAGAAGACATTAAGAAACATAATGATGAATGATGGTGTGGATTGGTGATAAGAATATTAAGAAATTTGAAACACAGACACTATTGATGATGATGATGATGGTGGATTATTGTATTATAAAGGAACATATCACAGATCTTCAAGATATCTTACCAGAAATAGTAAAAATTCAGCTATCCATATGGTTTTATTGTGTTTTATCGTTTGAATATTTCTCCACAGCAGCCAATAGAATTGTACGAAATAGTTTACTTTGACTCTAAAATGAATAATAAAATTAATTAAATTACGTCATAATGACACATATATGAGTGAGAGGTAATAATAGTATATACTTACAATGTTAGATATCGCTCGAAATGTATATTCTGAAAGAAATGTAATATTAATATATATGAAATAAATTAAATAACTTAATACATTCAAGTATTATATAATATGAATCGTCAGGGATAGTTAAACTCCGCGTTTATTAGAAAAGGATTAACAGAGGAAGTATCAAACTTCGTAATTTTCTTAATAAAGACATTTTTTGGTCGTTTTTCATAATGAGTAATAATTTATGTGTTTTATTTATAATTCGTTCTGAAAAAACTATTTAGAAATAAAAAACCTACTATATTAATACTCGCGAAAGTCTTATATATCTAACTATCTAAAAAATTATTATAAAGAAAATTACGAAGTTTGATGCTGCAATCAATCTCTTTCTAATGTAGATAGATACGCGAAATAATCCATTGCTAATTACATGGATTTAGACTATCTCATACAATATATCGACTTTATTATATTCAGAGATATTAAACCTTTTCATCTCCGGTCCCATTGAAGTATTCCATTTCATCTTTGACGTCCCCAACTCTGTTCTCGATGGCCTCCGCTATACTTGACCGCTGGTACTCGTTACAAATACGTCTTATCCTTTCTCGACTCTCCAACTCTTTGTCCGCTTCAATACCAAGCAAAGTCACGTAATACTCCGCGGCGTTAAAACCCACGGGACATTTGTAGTTCATCCTACGTAATAAATCATTATATAGCTTCTTTCTTCTACCTGGCAATTTCCCAGCTTTAGCCAGGGTCTGCCTTACATGTTGTGAATAGTTTTGGCTAACTGTTTTTACGATCGGCCGCCTGCCTGACATCAACCGTCTTTGGGAATGCATTAATCAGTGATGTCTAAATACTCTTAGAAAGTACATAAAATACAGAAAGTACGTAAAATAAAATACTCGGTAAAATCACTTTGGTACTTGCCAGGGCCAGGATCGAACCCGCGCCCTCGTGCATGATAAGCGGGCCTTTTAACCACTAGGCCACCACTGACTAATTCATTATGTAGCTTCTATAACCTTAATCTGAGATAAATGACTTAGTTTCCACTGTTTAAAGATCTCAATCAATCTTTATGTAATATTTATTTGCTGTATTTCTAAATTAATGAAATATTTGCATACATTTACATAATCGGTAAAATATAATCTTGAAATCTTTTAAATCTTGTTCCTCATATATTCCAATTTGATGATCTCATAAATATTAGATTATGAGAACCCGAAAAAAAACTGTACGCTTATAACTTAATATTAAGCATTATAATATTGAAGTTAAAATAATATTTCACAATAGTAAACGACCTAAACTTTGTTTTCGCGGCCATCTTGTTTTACAAAACTGATTTATTTAATATGTTGGCTTTTTCAACATTTATGGGATTTATTTTATTAGCGTGTAGCAATAAAATTTCATCTACTTGATTTCCATTAACCATTCATAGATAGATAACATTTTTTTATTAGTTATTTCTTACAGCATTTTATCTTACAACAATATATAAAAATAAAAAAAAGAGCAATAGATAGTACAAATTGATTCATTCAGTCGAAAGAATTCCTATACAGCCTTTTTGGGTAGAAACTCATTTATTTATCGTCATTAAATAGGATTGACTGTGAGTTGCGTAAAGCAACTTGAAATATTTATATATTTAATAGTTACTACAAACAACATGGCGTGTCTTAAAACAATTTATATGTATAATTACAATCCTCATTTAAATTATATCTGTTTATTATAATAATAGTGTTGCCAGAAACAAATATTTAAAATATACAAACAGCCGAAGATAACTAAAATTGCCTATGTTGTAAGATTAGACTTCACAGAGAATACATTTAAAAACACGAATTCTTAGAAACTATGAGGTCATTGAACTAGTAATTTAACCGAATCGAGTAACATGTAACATTCTATAACAACAATATATATAAGTTATAGTTAACTTAAATTATATGCTTTATTATAATATTTTACTTCACTGTAATTGTTCACCTTCCTTAAAGCTATCTCTTTTTCTATACAATTGTAAAAATATAATTATATAAGTTATTAAAGAGACCGTTCTTCGTAAAATAATAATTTTTTAACCGTAATATTTGTAATTGGTTAGTTTATAGTTAAATTTCAAATTGTAATCAGTATTATATGACATGTTAACTTATATGAAATTAGAATCCTTTTAAAAAATGTTTCGCTTCTTATTGAAAAATATTATGCTATTAATAATAATTTATTAACATATGAAAGTGCAAGGAATTGGACAACTTTCGTAAACAAAGATTTTTCTATAAATCCTAATATAAAACGCAAAGCTTTTAACTAACAGCGTTGCAGTAAGTGCTATTTCTACTAAGTTTTTGTTTACATTTAAGGAACATGACAGTTTTATAGAAACATATGCAAAGTTTTATATAAATTCTACGTAATAAAGTTTTTTATCAAATAAGGAACAAGACAGCTTAATAGAAATATATGCACATAATATATAATCTGATTTTTAGTATGAATAGCGTTAATACTCACGAAGCGAAAAACTGATCAGCCTGTTCTATGGTTCCGTGGAAGGCTATTCTTCCACTGGCTAATAGCACCACCTGGTGGAAGAGTTCGAAAACTCCAGAGGCTGGCTGGTGTACGGAACATATAACAAGTTTCCCACCAGCAGCCAATCGTCTTAGACGGGAGACCACAGCATTGGCGGCGAAGCTGTCGAGACCAGTTGTGGGCTCATCGCAGAATAAAATCGGAGGATCATTCAGTAACTGTAGGGAAACAACATAATCTATGAGCTTAATACATAACTGGTAAATAATCTCAGTCAAACAGACTGTAGAGTAATGCAAAATAACCGAAACTTTTGGAGTACGTAGTTTTTCTAATAAAATACGCGAAGTTTTCTAATTAAACTAATCTTTGTGAGTTTTGGACTGATTTTAACTCAAAATCGGAAATCCTATGTTTAAATTACCTACAAATTAACTCTAAATGGGCACATATAATTGAAATTTAATACTATGATCCAATAGTTGAATATATTTTAAGTTAAAATCGTAATTACCTGAACGGCCAAGGCCACACGCTTTCTCTCCCCTCCAGAGAGAGCCTTGAGCTTCGTCCTCGTACAATTAGCAACACCAAGTTCACCAAGAAGCTGTTCAATCCTTCTTGATCTGATTGATTTAGTCGATCTTTTGTCCATCATGAGACGAGCCTATTAAAATAAGTGATTATGTGTCTTAATATCACATTATTGTGGTCCATTTTTGATTAATTACAATATGAATTACGATATAATTGCTTATAAAATATTAATTAATCAAATTTAAACACACAAATACTGACATGTCGTTATGTTAGTATCCAAACATTACCAAATTACAAAATCGTTACGTGACATTTGAGAAGACCGTTTATTTCTTGTTTTAAATATTAATAATCTGTGTTAAAAAATGACAGTGACAGGTAACGGAAAAAAAATAATGGAGACAGACTTTATTAAAGAAATATAAATCAACTTTAAACCAATTAAATGTAAAATATGAAAATCCTTTGGCACTTTCGATTTTGTTTTTGAAAGACGTAAATAAAAAACAGATGTATAGAAGATTTATATGTACTAATTACTACACTGATTAATGCATTCCCAAAGAGGGTTGATGTCAGGCAGGCGGCCGGTCGTAAAAACAATTAGCCAAAACTATTCACAACATGTAAAGCAGACCCTGGCTGAAGCTGGGAAATTGCCAGGTAGAAGAAGAAGAAAAGAAGATTTCAATTTAAAAATAAGTGTATAAGCAATTCTAATTTTGTCGTAATTCAAGTGTAATTTTAATACATTCTTTATAACAACATAAACAGTGACACTCACACATACATATATTATTATTTAGTGTAGAATGATTGATACGTTGTATTAAAATAATTTCCGCGTGTAATCAAATCAGCCATGTACTCTGAATATTCAACAGAGCGGCTAAGATTGAATCAATAGGCTGTCATCTATGACAGAATTATTGTGAACAAAAAATACTAAATGCCTAAACATTTACCCACACAACCTAACTATTACCTAATACATAAATACATACACATACATACATAAAAAGACTTTTGAACAAGTACCTGCTATTTCAAAGAATTGCATTTTTATTCAATAGCAATTCTAGGAATCTTCTTCCTCAACCGAAATGAGTCTTAAACTAATTTGTAATAAAATCTGTTTAGTTTTTAAGTCCTTATTACTTGTAAATAAATGTTATTTGACCAATATTTATCATGATTTGAGTCTTTATGTAGCAACAAATATTATTCGTCTTTTTTAAATTTATTTATAATTAAATAAAAAACTATTTTTGTCATATGTTTAATGGCAACACGTCGAGATAAAATTTTAACCTGAATTCAGAGGTCCTTATTAAAAAAACCTATATTGGTTTAAATGTTATTAATTTTAAAAATTATTTTAAAATGTAAACGCTTATGCATATAATTTTGCAAATGATTATTGAACTTTTTCATAATAACTTTAATAAATAAAAATTAAATCCTTAAAATTGTGTGAGTCAAACTGAATATTCATACTTTTATATTTTCTCTTTCGAATGTTTTAGTTAAAATATCGTTTGTAATAATTATGCTAATAATTACAATAAATAAATCGAGATATAAGTACGTGTATGTACTTACATGGTTTTATCAAGATAAAATTTACACTTAAGCTTACTCAATGGAATATAATATTTTTTGTATAAAAATTTAGTAATATTATAATGTATATAATTTTGATATTTCTAGTTTAGAATATTTAATTATAAAATAATGTACCACAGAGATCAAGTTATAAAACTCACACATCCCCTATGATAACTTTATACATATTATAATTAATATCATTATTACCATTCTTCTTCTACCTGGAAATTTTCTAGCTTAAGCCAGTGTATGCCTAACATGTGTGAATAGTTTTGGCTAATTGTTTTTACGACCGGCCGCCCGCCTGACATCAACCCTCTTTGGGAATGCATTAATCAGTGATGTCTAAATACTCTTAGAAAGTACATATGATTCGGAAAAATCACATCGGTACTTGTCAGGATCGAACCCGCGCCTTCATGCATGAGAGGGGGTCCTGTTAACCACTAGGCCACCACTGACTATCATTATTATCAATATTTTTAAATAATGTAACCTAAAGCTATTGCAATGATTATATGACAAGAAAAAAATATAATGACTATAATATTTCCAATGACTTATAGAAACTCCAACTATATATTACGAAAATTATAAGGCAATATTAATTACATAAATATTATTAAAAATATATATAAATATACGAATTACAGTTTCCTTTCATTTTAATTAACAGAAGTCAGAACATTCAAATAATGTGGATTACTTGAAAAAGTTTATTTAAATTCATTAATTATGTGCATACAAAATGACAAGCATAAAATGTACTGACATATCGGCTATAAAAACTTTATACTCAGTAAGTAAAGTAAAAATATATACATAGAACACAAGTACGTAGACTGATTAACAAATAACAATAAACTTATAATAAAAATGTCTTCTATAATTATATACTCAAACCTGTATTTTATATGTACATAAAACCTTTAAGAAGATAAAATTGTATCTTTTATTTTGTTCCAAGTGGAATCCGATTAAAAAAAGGACTAAATTTTCAAAATCTCAAGGACGATTTTTGGCGTCGCCTTAATGATACATTTAGATATATTTTTAAGTTTTATTTCGAAAAAAATTAAAATGTCTGACAAAAGACAAAATACCTATACCTAAGTAAGGTAAGTTACTTGTTATAAAGAATGTATTAAAATTATACTTAAATTCTGAACCATCATACGATAAAAATTGCGCATACATCTCTTTGTTATTTACGCGTTTCAAAAACAAAATCAAAAGTGCCAAAGGATTTGTAAATTATTTATATAGTCCCTAAGACTTAAGCTGAGCTTTGCATTTGTGTGATTGAAAGTAAAAGTAGAGCAAGACAGAAAACTTTTAGAATTAAATTTTGATATATTTTAAAAAGATACATAACATAAGTGTTATAAAATAAGATAAACTTGTAAAGGGCCAGATGGAAATATTATGAATATTATGGAAAAAAATTATTGATTCATAAAAATTTTGAAAAAACTATACGAATTCTTATTCACTTGACGTTGCATTTTCAACATTTGATTTTGCTACCAGTACAAAGGGTGAAGTGCGGAAGGTGCGGGGCGGAGTAAAAGCAGAATAAACCGGTTAAAAACTAGAAAAGAACGTGGCATTCAAAAATTTGATATCACACCTACACTATGTGTACACTCACACAAATGCAAAGCTCAGATAAAATCAAACGCACTATACCTAGGTATATTGTTAAATCCACGTACCATAAACTCCATATGTTCAGACACAGTAAGGTCATCTATCGATAGATCTTCTTGAGGTAGGAAGCCTGATATCCTCGCTATGAGATCAGCTCCCGCCAATCTCCCGTTCAGCATCAGGTAGCCAGACATAGCGCTTTTATCTCGTCGACTTATCGCCGCCAGTAGCGTTGTCTTGCCAGCACCGCTATAATAATACTTCTATGAATAATGTTTATGTAACAATCCTATGAAATGAAACGAAGTGATGGAAGTTCTTTGACAAATCACAAAAACCGATACAAAAAAAAATGAAATATTATTAAAAACAAATAATACATTTTTATTTACTACTTATATACGGAATATATTTAAATATTGTTCCAACTTGAATAAAAATGTGCATGTCAGTTCATTTACAATTCGTTACTTTTTAACATCCAAACTCTAGTATTTATTATAAAAGAAAAATTCAAACACACAAATATTATAGCTCTTAAGATAGACATTAACTTTTAGATTAAATATTCGAATTCACTTCCTTTCTACTCAAAGTCACTGACAAAAAGTAGTTTTAAATCTAAGCTTTTAAATTATAACATCTTAAAAAAACTCTTCACAAATTTCAAACAAATATAGACGCGTCCTTATCATATAAAGTCGTAAAAAATAAATTCATATTATCAATGTTATTCCAACAAGGCTGAAAGACGATTATCACAAACAAGAGCGGATTGTCCAAAAAAATTTAAGAGAATAAAATAAAGAGCGACTTGTATCTAATATACGATTGATGAGCACGAAAAATATTTACAAATGTATTTAAAATTTACCGTGTAATCTATAGATTAAATCATTAACAATGAGGCTGCTGTTACACATGCTTATTTTAAGCACGAAAGCATGCTTTAATTGAACACTAGCTGTTTACTAGCATTTTCCAAATGTTGCTTAAAATAAGCATACTTAGTTGCAATAGACTGATTGGTACTAGCTTGCTTAAGAAGCAAACGTCATAAGCAAAACTTGCACCCGCGTCGCTAATAGCATGCTTAAAAATCGCACGCCTGTCAACTTTAAAGAAAAAATAAGCATGCTTATTTTAAACAATATTTGGACACATGCTAGTAAACAGCAAGTGCTCAATTAAAGCATGCTTTCGTGCTTAAAATCAACATATGTAAAGGTTGTCTAAGTGTTACTATATAAAACGATTAAACTTTATAGCGCAAATCGAGAGTTTCATGTCAAAGAATTAGAAAATAAGATATTACCATACAATAAATTTGAAAAAATCGTGAAATTTTAAACTTGTCTGTAAACTCAGTTCCTAAGTCCACTTCATCACAACATTGCCGATATCTGATAAAGAATCAAAAACAGTGACGTTTTTGATTGAAATAAAAATGAACACATTGTAATTGATTTATATTTGATTTTTTACTTAAAATACTACGATTGAGAACATTTTTAAACACGTGTTTAAAAATAATTTTTCGTTGTTTTAAACTATCATAAAAAAGCCGTATTGAAAATCAATTAAGTATATTGCAGTTGATCACGATTTATGTATTTTTTTTAACTTTATCAAATCAAATCAGCGAAATATCTTTATCATATTTTACATTGACTTAGTTGCATCAAAAGCGAAAATCGTGAGTGGAATTTAAGAACCTGTTTCGTATCCAACACTATCAACAATGTGTATCGACGCACTCAAACCTTTTACAAAATAATCATAAATAAAATAAAAGATAACTTTTATACATAAAATAAAATATTCTAAGACAATTCATTAATAAATCATGATCATTTAAATACATCTATATTTTCGTTGGTGGTTTAAAATATGGCCTGGATAGACGTGCATTGCAAACATGGAGAAGACACGATTCGGAATTAACTTTTAAACGAAATAAAATTTAATACAGTAAAGTCACAATAAGGAACTTTGTTAGTAGAACAACAACACAATACAACAATACTTTAATGTATATACATATATATATAATTAAAGATATCTATCAAATCATTAAGCATGACATTTCAAATGATAGGACATTAAATACTCAAGAAGGGAATAAATCAAATAGTATAATTTCGTCATTAGAAGGGTTTGCAAGAAGCTGCTGAACAAAACCTTGAAATTTGAATCTACTACATAAATCCGTTGATCTTTGGTTCACTGGTCTCTAAAGCGAACAGCTTAAAATATTCGATGTTTCTAATTAAAAATTATTCATCTGACAACATAATTACCTTGAACCCATCAGAGCAACCAAGTTGCCGGATGACACCACACCGCTAACTGTTAACAAAAAATAAAATTAACATATCATAAACACATACAAGATTATCTTTGTAGAATTTTTTGGGATTAAGACTTTCTACTCTATGATTTAAATAAGTATTACTATCGAAAACGTCATGGTTTTTAGTTAAACTTTACTATAAAGTAAGTCCTTTAGTCAAACTTCGTCTTTACTGAAAAAGGTCATTCATTAATATATTCGACCTCAAGCAAGTAAATTAAATATAGGAATTCGTTATATTATATCACGAGATTTACGTAACACATAATTTTAATAGAAAACAATTTTATATGTAAATTATTGAATGTAAATTCAGTCAGTATATTAAATAAATAACTTTACTTCGTTATACCAAAAAATCATTTATAATAATTAGTGTCATTTGTGGTTTGATATATGGTGTTGCTACTAATATTTTTATCGTAAGTTTTACTCACCTCCATGTAGAACTTTAATTTCTTCGTATACCGCGGATCTCCATATACTGGTTTGATATTTCTTCTTTCTGTACACGCAGAGGTCTTTCCAGGCGAGTGTCAGGTTCTCAGGAGTGTCTCCAAGACCAGCCAGTTCATCATCCTCCCAATTCACCACAGCCCCAGTGAGCACATTGCGCGTGGGAACGTTGAGGCTTAGATCTTTCATTTTCGTCTTACGTCATTTGTACTAAAACAAAATGAAACAGTCTAGATTAATCTATACTAATATTATAAAGCTGAGGAGTTTGTTTGTTTGTTTGTTTGAAAGAGCTAATCTCCGAAACTACTGGTTCGAATTGAATAATTCTTTTTGTGTTGGATAGTCCAGTTATCGAGGAAGGCTGTGGGCTATATAACCTCACGCTACGACTAACAGGAGCAAAGATATAGTAGTAAATGTGTAAAAAACGGGAGAATTTATTTCATCTTTGAAGCCTTCCGTTGCGTGCGCCGTGAAAACGGTTCAAGATACACAAAAAATATGTTTTAAATAATAATAGCTCTTTTAATAATCTAAAAAACATTCCGCGACAGTATATGTCTATCTTTTAAGATTAACTCACAAAAACCGTTTTTATGGTACCTAATTTTGTCGAAATAATTTGTTTAAGTTGTATCAACATAATAATATTAATCTTTATTCAAATAAACAAATAAATATGTTGTTGGTTAAGAGTACTTCATTATTAATTTAAAAAAAACATATGTTTTATCCTGAAAATTCTACGGGAACTCGACCATTCCGAAAACCCCTTCAAGAACGGGAACTGTCGGAAGTAACTATTCCACGCGGACGGAGTCGCGGCAAAAGCTAGTCATTTATAATAATAAATCATCAGCCTATCAGAGCCCACTGCTAAGCAAAGGCCTCTTCTCACATGGAGAATTATATATAATATTATCTTCTTCTTCTACCTGGCAGTTATACCAGCTTTAGCCAGAGTTTGCCTTACGTGTTGTGAATAGTTTTTGGCTACTTGTTTTTAGGACCGGCCGCCTGCCTGACATCAACCCTATTTGAGAATACATTAATCAGTGATGTCTAAATACTCTTAGAAAGTACATATCACTCGGAAAAATCACATTGGTACTTGCCAGGATCGTACCCGCGCCCTCATGCATGAGAGGCGATCACTGACTAATTATAATATTTAATATTATGTATTCAATATATATAATATTATATATTCAAAATTACATATTACCGAATGTTGTACAAACTCTCATAAAGGTCATAGATTTTATAATGCTAATAAAAAATAGGCAACTCACGAATCTTGAGTGCATTATATTAACATGTCAAGAATCAAGATGAAAAAAGCGCGGCTAAAAACGGCTTTGCTTTTAAATTAAGAATTCAATTTAAAATATGATACGAAAATAATATAGAATTCTTCTATATGAAGTAATGAAGATTTAATTTTAATATTACTTTTCTTATTTTACATATATATGTAGTTGGGTTTGTAATAATATAGCCAAAACATATGCCCCCTATAGATATTTCTCTTGTACTGTCATCCTGTTCATACAGTGGCAATTGATACGAATTACCTCTCATTATCGTTCTATACAATCTTCTTTAGTCTGTTAAGAGGTCCCGATTTCGTTGCTACCCTATAAATAGTACCGACACTATCTTATTCTTCTACCTGGCAATTTCCCAGATTTGGCCAGGGTCTGCCTTATGTTGTGAATAGTTTTGGCTAATTGTTTTTACGACCTGCCGCCTGCCTGACATCAGCCCTCTTTGGGAATGCATTCATCAGTGATGTCTAAATAGTACCGACACTTTATTCTGAATCTATTTTCAACAAGCCTATGTTGTCCTAATTATACAAAAATCCGTTATATTTTTCAAAATCTCGTATTTTTTTTTTTTGTAATATATTTGTAAACATAAAATTATAATTAACCCAAAAAATAAAACGAGTTTGACCGACCTTAGGTGACATTGTTTTTTAAAGAATTTTGAACAAATTATCATGAATTAGAAACTTCTGATAGTGCAACGAATACATTAAATGTATTAATAAAATTAACTTTCTTTTTATTATAAAATTACTACCTTAGAAGTTTAGGAGATTTTTTTTCTAGAATTTTCCATATGTAAAGTCCGTTTTTTGTTATATATTATATGAAAATTGTTTTAGTATACTTATTTATTGTATGTTTATAGTTTCAACGTATTTATTTAAGCAGGAAAAACACTTTAACAGGTCACTGACACGGTGTTGAGTTACTTGAGTACAGACGACATGAAATCAATAAACGATACCGTTTTAAATTTATATACCTATATATTATAAAATCTAATTATTCGTTACATATTGTTTATTATAAAATCAATGCTTCTTCCTGGCAATTTACCAGCTTTAGCCAGGGTCTGTCTTGCATGTTGTTAATAGTTTTGGCTAATTGTTTTTACGACCGGCCTGCCTGACATCAACCCTATTTGGGAATGCATTAAAATCAATTAATTATTCTAAATAAATTTAATCTCGTACAAAATAAACGGTTTCTTGCGTGAATGATTTACAAAAATGTCAGAGTTCTGTCAAATGTAATTTAGTTTGGATTTTTGGAAGTTTGGATGAGTCCTTTCGCTATTGTTTTTTTTATATATTTAAAATATTCTGCATGTTTTTAAGCACACTAGAAATGATTAGTCATAAAAAATATACAGCGTACAGTTTACAAATGAAATAAATTTTAGGTTTAAGAAATAGTTAATGAGATAAAAAAATAAAAAGAATCAGAAATATTACACGCTGATTATTGTAAAGTATATGAATGTATTAAAAAATTTACAACTTTTTTTCTATCTGCCTATTTGTTTCAGCTAAACTCCAATAGGACTGGATCGAATTCGATAATACTTTAACTAGTAGATAGCTTAAATAACATAGCTATTTCATTTAATTTATTTTTACTTATACAACTAATAACTATCATTCGCATACAAAGTCGCAAGCACAGCTAGTGTAAAATATGGAAAAAACAAATTTGAAATATTTAATAGTTGTTATTCCCAATACTAATGCAAAAAGCCGTTATAACTTAAGAAACTAAAAGGCATCAATGTTGTAAGATGTAAAGAAAATTACTTGAAATTAGATATTTATGACATTATTTAAAAGGTTTTATAATCATTATGTTATGTATAAAATATAAAATCGCAATAATTTAAACGTAGGTTGAGATCGAACGCGATAAGCGAAGCGTGGGGTGAGTTTTTTGACCGTATGTACATACTCGGTATCAAGTTATACGGGAAAAAATTTTATATGAAAGAACTAATTTTGGTTGAATTTCGCCATAGACTATCCTGAATAACGAAGTATGTGACAACAGAAGTGAAAGAAAGAGACAGAAGGGATTAGAGTGAGATAGCATGAGATATAGATAACTTTTTAAATCGCACCTGTTTTGAAAACTGTTCAATGGAAACAGCCAACGTGCGAGTTAATTGGCTGCAGGTCGGCTTAAGTCTAAAGTATCGAGTAAAATGTTAAACCCTGTGGTTGGAAGCATTTCGCTCTGACTTGTTCCCAGTCGGTATCCGTTTCGTTAAGTAACCGATCTGAATATAATATTATACACGCTATTTTCGTCTCTATTTACAATAGAGCACAGGTCATTGTCACTTAACGCCTCCTCCCCGCATAGAACAAAACTTATATCTCATACGTGTGAAGGCAGAAGATTAACTAATGTTGTGCAATATATAATATTTGTAAATACCGTTGAATTTTAAAATTACATTCGAAAATAAACATCACTATATTTTATTATAATAATATATAATTAAAAAATAATACTAGACAGAGGATTCCATGCATACTTCCGGAACATAAAAATGAAAACTCAAATATTTTATTTATTTGTTTTTATAATATTGTATTAGAATATTTTAATTATCATAAATTTTGTGTTTATAAATATATTAATATTGTTTTATTATTAAGAAGATTTCTTGGAGTTATAAGAATGGCTCTTGGACTCGTAGGTTAAGAAGGCGGCAAAAAAACATCACATGTCACTTTTTTCACACATTACTCCCCATTACTCTTACGTCACTTTAAAAAATGATTTTTAAAATATTCTCTTCATTATTTTAATTATACAAATATTTATATTGCTTAAGCCTATCTGTCCTTAATTAAAAATTTACAACTTCTGTTACAATTTGGTTGCGGTGATACTCAGTTTCAATTAAAAATATATATTTTAAGTTTCGAAATCAAAACCGTTGCTTTTATAATTTAAAAAAAATCACCTTATAAATTTAAGGCAATATCGAACCAATCTTTTGTAAGTTTGTGTAGAATTGCCAAATTATATAATTTCATAATTAGCTTAAATTATATTAAGGTTTCATTTCCAAGGTCAACAAGCTCGATGGAGAATACTATTCAAAATGCGTATACGGCTAGTTATAATAAAAATTATATTCATATAAAATTATAAGCTTAAAGAATGCAAGCTACATCACATAAAATTTAAAATATGCATATATTTGAGTTAATGACTACCGCATTTGTGTTAGAAAAAATTAAAATAATACATATTTAGTTTCTAGTCTTTTTTTATATGTGAACTTTTTGGTTATAAATAATCAATTTACTGTAAAAAAATATTTAAAAGCTCTTACTTAAACACATGAACTTGACGGAGGAGCTCGAGAAATGCATCTCAGTAAGAATAATAAAAAAAAAAATTAATACAAGATAATTAAAATACCATAAAAAATCCTAATCACCTTATCAATTACTTAATTTAAATTCTATTAAATATAATAGAAAATATTTATTCAGATGACTAACTTGCGAGAGCTTAGCGTTTCCAACGCATAATATAATTAAATTTAATTATCAAAGAAAAATACAATTTCAGATAGTTTCATTACACTTACCCTATAATAATAAATAAATCACAATATACAAATAAGTAACAGTTTAAAAAACAAACAAACACACGCGTTTCATATATAGTTTATAAGCGACTGTCGCCCGCTCAGCGATGAGTGAATAACTGAGCTCACTCAACTCTCTGCCACTGGACTGCCTTACAAGACTCAACTCCAAGTCGTTTTAATGATAGTCACTTGATTACTTGAACACTTTTTAATTGATTTTCACATTTTTTCTAATTTAATTCACTATT